ACACACATATACACCATGGAATATTATTATATAATATACACCATACATATATATATATTTATATGTATACACACACACACAGCACATTTTGTCTATTCATTCATCTTTCAACTTCATTTTGACACCTCTACAGTAGTTCCTGCTTGTCCATGGTACATTTCATGGCCCCCAGTGGATGCCTAAAACTTTGAATAGTACCGAGCCTGACTGCTGTCATCAGAACATATTTCTTTACATATCTTCCACCCACAAATGTAATGTCTCTTCCATCTTAACTAAGCTCTTTCTCTGCTGTTTGTTTCCTTTTTGGGAGCAACCCTACTAACTGGCTAAGCTCTTATCAGTACTGTTGCCATAATTTTTGTAGTTTGAGGCACTACAGCAACAGTAACACAAATTTGTTCACAAGATTCATTCTTGTGTAGATCTTAGCAACCTCTGCATATGATTTTTTTTCTTTCCTTATTAAGTCAAGAACTTTTACCCTTTCACCTAAAGGAAGCATTGTCTAGCTTATCTTTGGCATATCTGAATTGCTAGCATCACTGCTCCTGTGTTTTGCAGCCATTATTAAGTAAAATGAGAATTACTTGAACACAAGGGCTGCAATGCTCCAACAGTCAATCTTATAACCAAGACAGCTACTAAGTGACCAGTGGAAGGGGAGTGTCTACAACGTGGAGACGATGGATGAAGGGATGATTCATGTCCCACATGAGACAGAGCCAACAACAAGAGATTTCATCACACTACTCAGAATGATGGCCAATCTAAATTTTATGAATTATTTATTTCTAGAAATTTTTATGTAATATTTTCAGGCCAGGGCTGACTGCAAACAAGTGAAATTGCAGAAAGCAAAGCCTTGGTCAAGACTACTGTATTACAGGAGATAAAGAAGCAAAGTTTGGGTGCAAGAGCTTCGGTCTATGGAGTGAGTAACTGGAAGGATGGAAAAGATAAAGCCTTCTAAATGCTATGGACTTCCGCAGGCCTTATTTGGGACATAAAGAGGATATCACTAATGTTAATAATCCAAGTTTCACTGGATTTTTTCCCTTACCTGCTAGAGTAGTCTGTTCTCTCACAGCTATAAAGAAATACCTGAAACTGGGTAATTTATAAGAAAAGAGGTTTAATTGGCTCACAGTTCCACAGGCTTTACAGGAAGCATGACTAGGGAAGCCTCAGGAAACTTTCAATCATGGCAGAAGGCAAAGGCGAAGCAGGCACATCTTACAGCTGGAGAAGGGGAAGAGAATGAAGGCAGAGGCACCACACACTTTCAGACAACCAGATCTCAAGAAAACTCACTATCATGAGAACAGCAAGAGGGAAATCTGCCCCCATGATTCAGTCATGTCCCAGCTAGCCCCTCCTCCAACATTGGGGATTACAGTTCAGCATGAGATTGGAGTGGGGACACAGATCCAAACCATATCACCTGCTTACGCAGGACTTGAGAGCCTTCTTAAGCACTGCTCTGTTCCCGCCCCCACCCCAACCACATGCATTTCTGGGGAATCCCCAGTGAGGAGTGAGGATCTCAAACTGCCTCAAATTAACATTTGTTCTGCTTTCCACTGATGCTAGATAAACACAGCAGTCTCCCGCCAAGCATCTGCTGGATATTGATTTATTGGCTAGCCATCACTGTTTTCTGCTAAAAGACTACAGTCCCAGGTTGGCATCCATTGGATGCTGCCACATCCTTAAGGCACTGCCATCACACCCTGGGAGCTGCCATTGCCTCCGGAGTTCTCAGGGTTCCAAAGCTGCAAGCTGTCCTGTTTGTGCCATGAACTCTTCCTCTGCCTGCTGAGTTACACTCTGTGGACAGTAAGAGAGCAATACTGGCTGTGTCCCCATGCTTCTCAGGCATTGTAATGAAACAATAGGAAATGCCCCTCCACTCCTAGAAGGGGGGCTTTGTTACAGGTCAAGCTCATGCAGGACTCCTCCCACCCTTGGTGTTCTCTCTCTCAGGCTTCTCAATAGCTGTGCAAATTGGCTTCGGGCTTGCCAATCTTCCCTTTCTTCATATGTGTCCAGACATGTCTGAATTGCAGATTACACTCATATTAGAACTCCTTTTAAATAAGATTCTAAGTATATAAAATTGAACTAAAAATTAACATGTGGAGGAATAGGATACCTTCAGAGGAAATGCATTATTCATCAGTACCTGGTGTTTGCCTGTATATCCTTTCTTCTCTTAACAGGAGGGAACTTCTTTTCGGAAATCTACAATCTTTACAAAGTTCTCTTTGACTTTCCCATAATCATAAGCTAGATGTCAGGAGATTTATTTCCTCTAGAATTAAAACAAATCTCATCTGTGATATAAAATTCCTTACCACCAGAGGGAGGAATTCCTTTTCTCATCCCTTCTTTAAGTATTTTAGTAGGATACAGTGACATGACAAAAGCGGATACTTCAGGGCACAAATCTGACCCTCTTATTCTTTTTTGGTCTAACTACTTTCGCTTGTCATTCTTCGCCTCCTGAAGCTCAAATACTCCTCCTGCTCCCTGACTGATCTGATGATTGAGAGACTAGCATTACCAGGAGGGGCTCACCCAAACTTTCATTTACAGCTTGGATTCTGTCGAAGGCCATTATCAAACCATGGAGTAGTGCATTCTGATGAGACCGGGTGTTCAGGGCGGTATGACCATAGACTGCAGTAGTGGATTCTGGATCTTGGCTTTCTAATGACGTCGTTCGATAGATTTGGTGCCTAAAGATCAACCAACCAACAGAAACTTCTCTCCAGTGTTCAACATATATATGAGAAATCTAGCACATTATAGAATGATCATTTTTGCATAATTAAAATATAATTTCCTCCATAAAAATAGATGAGAAACAGCTAATTTGGGGAAAACCTTCTATAAATCCACAATTACTTAAGAATAACTTCTTACTTGATCCAGAAAGATATGCTTTTTAAAAAAATTATGGTGGTAAAAACACTTAATGAAAGCTATTGTGTTTTATTTTATTTTTTTGAGACAGAGTTTCACTCTTGTTTCCCAGACTGGAGTGTAATGGCCAGATCTCAGCTTATTGCAACCTCCCACTCCTGAGTTCAAGTGATTCTCCTGCCTCAGCCTCCCGACTAGCTGGGATTACAGGTGCGTGCCACCACACCCAGCTAATTTTTGTATTTTTAGTAGAGATGAGGTTTCACCATGTTGGCCAGGCAGGTCTTGAACTCCTGGGCTCAACCAATCCTCTCACCTCAGCCTCCCAAAGTGCTGGGATTATAGGCATGAGCCACCACACCCATAAAAGCAATAGGGATTGCTATTATTTTAAAAAATTTTTTTAATTAAAAAAATATATAGGCAAGGATGGAAAGAAATAGGAACCCAGGTACACTGTTGGTGAGAATGCAAAATGGTGCAGCTAATACGGAAAACAAGAGGGAGACTCCTCACCAAATTAAAAAGGGAACTACCTTATAATCCAGAGAGACACTGTTTAACATGAATGTAAAGGTCATAGGATAATTTTAGTAGAAGATTATGCAATTAGATACATTGAGCTACAGATCTAGCATTCACGGGAAATTATATCTCATTACTTTTGGAAATGGAAGATAGTCTGTACATAATATGAGGGAACTTAGCTTTGCTGTTTCTGTCTATGGCCTACTGCTTGTAGGCCATATTCCAGGAGAGGTTTTTGTGCCCTCTCACATTTAGGTAAAATTAGCTTGAAATGTCATGCCCTGTGGAAAGCTCAATGTCCTTTCTAACACTTCTGTAAATTCCCGGGAGAGTGATAATTTCATGGCTGCTCTGGCCCTGCCTTCCTTAAATTCTTGGTCCCCACCCCTGCTGCCTTGTGGTTGTTCCTTTACCTTTGTCCCATAATTGACCAAACATTCAATTCAGCACCTTTCTTTAAAAAACAAAATAGGGCCGGCCGTGCATGGTGGCTCATGCCTGTAATCTCAGCACTTTGGGAGGCCAAAGTGGGTGGATCATTAGAGGTCAGGGGTTTGAGACCAGCCTGGCCAACATGGTGAAATCCTGCCAATATTAAAAATACAAAAATTAGCCGGGCGTGGTGGCAGGCACCTGTAATCCCAGCTACTCAAGAGGCTGAGCCAGGAGAATGGCTTCCACCTGGGAAACCGAGGCTGCAGTGAGCCAAGATCATGCCACTGCACTCCAGCCTGGGTGACAGAGAGAGACTCTGTCTCAAAAATAATAATAATAACAAATAAGTAAAAAAAAAATTTTAAGCCCCCTTCAAAGACTAGGTGAATGTGAGAGACTTTACTGAAGGTTTAGAAAATTGGAAAAAGTTTACATTTTGAACAACGTCAACCATGTATTAGACATCCATCCCTCGTCTAAAAATTTCGTCCAACTACTAAATTGCTTGGCCATACTCTCTATTTTCTCCTCCTCCTTTTCTCCTTTCTATTCTTTCCCTCAACTCCAAATTCCTGTATGATTTCTTATATTTCTATTCTCATTTCCTGCTGCTCATGCCTGTAGGGTCTTCTACTCTAGATATTTTCTCAAGATACTTTCCCAAACAAAGGCTAGGAGGAATTCTGGTGCCAGTCATAAAGGTGTTCATAATCTCACACACACATAAACATTTCCATGTGCTTATCAGGGCTCTTTATTTTCTGGCCAGGCTATCCCAGCCACCACCTCGCCTTAAATTAAACTCCTTTATTCCAGAAGCAATGGCCGGTCTGCCGGCTGTGATGTTTCTCATGGCCAGTGCTGGAGGAAAACTCAGAAAAAGACAACATCATATATTGGAGTAAAAAGTATAGAAAGGGGCTAGGGCATGGCGATTTAGTAGCAAGAGATATTTTGCTATCAATCAAATAATATTTATTGAACATCTATTCTGAAAAAGGCTCTTCAGTAGAAGCATGCAGGAAAAAATAATCTTGTTCATACCTTTATGGATATATCAGGGATTGAAACTCCTGGAATTTATCAAAATCTAATTTGTCCTTGCCTAGGCTGAATGGAGAGAAGAAGTGAAAAAACACTTTGAGAAGATCAAAAGTGAAGGAACTTGTATACACCGGTTAGATGAAGAACTGATTCGAAGGCGCAGAGAAGAGCTCAGGTCAGCTCACCCCTCCTTCTCCACCTCCTCTGATCCCTAGGTCTGCAGATGTTAATGGGCACCCTCTTTATAACCCCCATTTCACTTTCTACCACCTTTCACCTAAGCTTTTTACTGTTAGACTGTTTAAAAGTTGCCCCTAGCTGGGCGTGGTGGCTCACGCCTGTAATCCAAGCACTTTGGAGGCCAAGGTGGGTGGATCACCTGAGGTTGGGAGTTCAAGACCAGCCTGACCAACATGGTGAAACCCTGTCTTTAGAAAAAAAAAAAAACTTGCCCCCAAAGTTAGCCCTCCTTTGTATCTCTTCGCTGTCCTTTCCTGCCAACTCTATTATCCTCTTTTATTATGTCTCTGCAAAAAGGATTCCTGAAACAATGCTATTTAGTCATTCAGCCACTGTCCTAAGTGCCATGGAATTCCAGAAATTTATAAGATTTCGTCCCTGGCTTCAAGATACTTATAATCTATTAAGAGATATAAGGCCAGGTGCAGTGGCTCACACCTGTAGTCCCAGCACTGTGGGAGGCCAAGGCAGGTGGATCACTTGAGCCCAGGAGTTCAAGACCAGCCTGCCCAACATGGCAAAACTGCATCTCTACTAAAAGTACAAAAAAGTACACCTGCGATCCCAGCTACGCAGGAGACTGAGTAATGAGAATCACTTGAACCTAGGAGATGGAGGTTGCAGTGAGCCAATATTGTGCCACTGTACTCCAGCCTGGGTGACAGAGTAAGATTCTGTCTCAAAAAAAAAAGAGAGAGATGAGGAGGCATGGTCATGGATAATCTCTGATATAATTTGGCTCTGTCTCTCCACCCAAATCTCACTTCAAATTGTCATCCCCACAATCCCCGTATGTCAAGGACAGAACCAGGTGAAGGTAACTGAATCATGGGGTGGTTTCCCCCAAGCTGTTTTTGTGATAATGTGTGAGTTCTCAGGAGAGCTGATGGTTTTATAAGCATCTGGCATTTTCCCTGCTTTCACTCATTCGACCCTGTGAGAAGGTTCTCCTTTGCCTTCTGCCATGATTGTAAATTTCCTGAGGCCTCCCCAGCAATGCAGAACTGTGAGTTAATTAAACCTCTTTCTTTTATAAATTACCCAGTCTCAGCTATTTCTTCATAGCAGTGTGAGAGCAGACTAATACAATCACATCTGAGTCAATTCCAGCTGCTATAACAAACCTTAGACTGGATAATTTATAAACAATGAAATGTATTGGTCATAGTTCTGAAGCTGGGAAGTCCATGATCAAGGTGCCACGATCAGATTCAGTGTCTAGTGAGGGCCTGTTTGTCATAGATGGCACCTGCTATGTGTCCTCACACCACAGAGGGCAAAAGGGCTCCCTCAAGTCTCTTTTATAAGGGGACTAATCCCATTGACAAGGGCAGAACTCTCATGATCTAAGCACCTCCCAAGGACCCCACCTCATTTTTTTGAGACAGAATCTCGCTCTGTCACCCAGGCTGGAGTGCAGTGGCGCAATCTCAGCTCACTGCAACCTCTGCCTCCTGGGTTCAGGTGATTCTTCTGCCTCAGCCTCCCAAGTAACTGGGACTACAAGCACGCACCACCATGCCTAGCTAATTTTTGTATTTTTAGTAGAGACAGGGTTTCACCATGTTGGTCAGGCTGGTCTTGAACTCCTGACCTCGTGATCTGCCCACCTCAGCCTCCCAGAGTCCTGGAATTACAGGCATGAGCCACCATACCCGGCCGACCCCACCTCTTAACATTATCACCTTGGGTGTTAGGTTTCAACATATAAATTTGGGGGGACACAAACATTCAGACCATAGCAACTATTCTGTCACATACGATCTGGGCCATGGCTAAGTATAAATGAGTGATCATGATGTTGGCTTTAACTGCCTATTTCCATGAACATGTGAGTATATTCTGCTGTATTCTTATTAAGATAATGCCAACCCTGCACAGTTGAAGGTGACAAATTACAGACAGATTTTTATCTGTGGCCTTCTTGGCTATTCTATATGGCTAGATGGGCCCTTTAAGATAAACCAAGTGGAGAGCTCAGATTTCCCATCTCCCATTCCATTTTCTGAGTTACTGCATTGGGCAAGGGAGCATTCACAATAGAGAGCCTTGGGCAAATGCTTTTGTGATCAGTCACCCTGTTTCTTATGTCATCAAGCTGGCTTTTGTTCTCCTGAAGTTGGCTGGCCTGGCTGACCCTATGTTTTCTTTGATAGGCATGCGCTGGATATTCGTGAACACTATGAGCGAAAGCTTGAGCGGGCGAATAATTTATACATGGAATTGAGTGCCATCATGCTACAGCTGGAAATGCGGGAGAAGGAGCTTATTAAGTATGTATCTGGACCCGTATCTGTCCTTACTGATTTGAGTCTGTCAATCAGCAGAAACATACTACTCTTCCTTGTTGCTGCTAATCAGAACTGGCAGATTTTTATTCATTCACCCAACATTCCTTCAGGGATGTGCGACGCACAGGTCCCTGCCCCTGATGAAGTATACAAGTGAGTGGAGTTGCCACAGAGCAAGTTATAGGGGAACATGCACTTGGCAGGCATTTGCTGGATAGGGAAGGGGGTCCTCATTTCAAGAACAGCACGGTGTGAAGAAGGGGAAGCTGACTGCCCGCTGGGGAAATGTGTTGGCTGCTGAAAGTGGTGTAAGGGACTCCCGATGCTGACAAGAAAACCCTGGGAATCCTGACCAAATGAGCAGCTACTGAAAACAAGCAGGACTTCTGTCATTGTTAGTGTCTGAGAAGGTGAGCTGCAGAGCAGAATGAAGTCAGGTGAATTTGAATTTAGTACTTGTTTGTTTTTTAAACCTGCAGCCTTGTCATTCAAATAGCCTGTATCTGCTAAATGTGGCCAGAATCTGCAGGTAGAATTAGCCTGTGAAAACATTCTGCCTCATTCTTTCTGTCTACAATGACTGAGAGGTGGCTTTTGCCTTTATTCTGCAGGCGTGAGCAAGCAGTGGAAAAGAAGTATCCGGGGACCTACAAACGACACCCTGTTCGTCCAATAATCCACCCCAATGCCATGGAGAAGCTCATGAAAAGGAAGGGAGTGCCTCACAAATCTGGGATGCAGACCAAACGGTGAGACACCTATACAGACACGATATGGAGATAAATGGGGAAACAGCCCCTACAAACCCCTTCTCACATGTTGGCAGATGTGGCCTCTTCTGTAGCTCATCAGATGAGAGTAGAGATACTCATCTCTAGATAAAACAGGGTAGGAGGGTGAGAGAGCATCACAGACTTCAGGAATCTAGCTCTTACATCTGTGGCATAAATATTGACTGTCTTAGCCTGGAAAGGGAAATAAACTGGGGGCCAAATAGACCTGGATTCAAATCCTGGACCTGCCTTTTAAGATGCGTGACTTGACCTCTTTCAATCCCAGTGTTCTCATGGATAAAATGGTATAATTACAGCACTTGGGGTTTCTTTTCATTTTTATGACCTCTAGGACATAGAATTAGGTTAGTTATAATTCTTGATTTACAACACGATAGTCCACGCACGACCTACTTTTATATACACATTTAGTTAGTTATTTTAAATAATGTGGACAGTACCTGCAGACTCATTGTATTAGTCCCTTCTTGCATTGCCATAAAGATATACCTGAGACTGGGTAATTTATAAAGAAAAAAAGGTTTAATTGGCTCATGGTTCTCCAGGCTACACAGGAAGCATGACAGCTTCTGGGGAGGCCTCAGGAAACTTAGAATCATGGCGAAAGATGAAGGGGGAGCCAGCACTTCACATGACTGGAGTAGGAGGAAGAGAGAGCAAAGGCGGAGGTGCTACACTCCTTTAAATAACCAAATCTCATGAGAAGTCACTCACTATCATGAGAACAGTATCAGGGGATGATGCTATACCATTCATGAGAAACTGCCCCCACGATACCATCACCTCCCCCCAGGACCCACCTCCAACAGCAGGGGTTACAATCTGACATGAGCTTTGGGTGGGGCATAGACTCAAACCACATCACTTGTCATGGAAACAAAAGCAGGGGCTTTGATAATTACCTGTATCTAACCATATGGTTCCCCTTACTGCACCCCAGCACGGGAGTTTTGTGAAGTTTAAATAAGATAACATGTGAAATAATCTACCAAATGATAGGTGTTCAAAAAATGTGTTTTGGGATAGTTTAAAAAAAGATTGCCTTTCCCCCTTTTTACTACATATTTGCCTTATATTTGTTTAATCTTGGCATTCTCTTCCTTTCATTTTTCCTCACCAAATTCTGTAGAGCCTCATTCCTCCCAAGGAACAGAGGTTAGCTCTCTCCTAGCTAAGTTAATGTAAAGGAAAGGAAGGTCCCTAAACCTAGAGTGTAGACCGAATAGTAAGATGTGAGTTACATGCAGTAAGAATAGAGGTAATGAGATAACACAAATGAGGAATGTATGATGATGCTATCAGAACGGCAGTCATTCTACCATGGCCGGACTAAGAGATACCTAAACTGCTAATGGGTAACTACATGAACTACTTCCAATTTTGCTTTTACCTACTTCCCCAACCATCTAATGGTAAGTTCTGAAAAATTGTTTTCAGATTCCACCTGACACAATTCTTGGGGTAGGGGAATTCCCAACACCCATTTTCTTAGGTCCTACTAGTTAGGGACAGAGTCTGCCTAATGGCTGCTCCCTGCCTTCTGCCTACAGTTAAAACCAAGAGCATTGGGGGAGAAAATAGAACCATTTAACTTTTTAAAATATGAACTCATGTTTGCTTTTATTTTGGCTGTGAGAAATATTTGAAAGAGTTTGACACCACAAGTAAATGAGCTAGCTTAGTCAATGAGCTAGTGAACATGAGGAAGGCACCCTGCAAAGAGCTGTACTGTCAGCTGATTGTCCCTTGAAGGACATCCATTTCAGATGATTTGGACAGCCCAATGATTACCAAGTGAGAAGTCTGGAGACCTTGGAGGAGATCAGAGAGGAGAAGCCATTCAACCAGCCTTAAGCTCAGGTTTCAGTTTATGTTTAGTTAGACTAAAAGGAAGAGTGTCAGGTTTAATCACGGACACTTCCAGGCTGTCGTAAGTGAGTACAGTCCAAAGAGATCATCTAAATGCCCCATAAGGAGAAGCTTGAAATGGGGAAGAACTATGCGTTGAGGTCCAAAGGCTTGGGTTCAGATTGTGAGTTCTGCCATTTGCTAGCTTTGTGATGGCTACAAGCCAGCATAACCTCTGATCCTCAGTGTGCTTCTCCATAAAATGCGTATCTTAATAGTAGAAACCAAGTGTTTTCTACAGTGCAAGTTAGTCAGCTGACCACAGAGTTTGGAATCTGGGACAGGAAGGTGCTGAGAGCAAATAATACCCTACCCACCTTATCATAAACCCTTAGTATGGAAGCCTGGAACTTCCATACTAAGATAAGTCCTTAACTGTACTTCTCCTGTAAAACAAGAAAAACCCATCTCCTGCTGCCTGCTGCCTATTTATGAGCTCTGGCTATTCAACGTGTGGCCTCACTTTAGCAACATCTGAGAGCTTGTTATACTTGCAGGCTCTTAGGCCTTACCCCAGCCCTACTAAATCAAAATCTTCAAGCTCCCCAGATGATTTTATGTGCCTTCAAGTTTGAACTCTGACCTTTCATTAAACCAGATTGAAAATTAGGAGACACTTTTTGTCTGGATTCTACCACTAATGAGCTTTGAGAGCATGAGCCACTTCGGCTGGGCTCTGAGTTCTTTATCACACATGGTGAAGATGGGACTGTACCTGTGGTTTCCAAGCAAAGTGTGGAACACCCAAGGGCTTGCACAGAGGTTTCTCCCAGGCCACTGCAGGGGTAGAAAGGACAAGGAGGGGGTCCCAGGAGCCCTGCAGAGAGGGGCTGCTGCTCTCCACTTCAACCAGCTCCACTATACCTGTTTTATATACTGCATTTCTCATAATAATTCATTTGAGAGAAGGATTCTGTTGTTAAAAAGAAAAAGTTTGGGGCCATCACCTCTAAAATTTTATGCTGACTTGTGTCTTTCTGGTCCAAAGAAGGATAAGGCTACTTGCCGGTAGAAAGAAAGCAGTGGTTCTTCCTGGTAACCCTAAAGGTAATCCCTGAATCAGTTCATCAGTTCTGAAACCAGTTATTTCCCTACAGGTCTTGGAAGCAGGGTGGGCAAGGTTTACCTTCAGGCCTCTGACTTTCTTTTGCACATAATCTTCACGACTGGCCCAGCTGACACTTGAAAACAGGACTGTGAAAGGACCCCCTCCCTTTAGGGTCAAAGTGGAATGCCAGTGTCACTCTGCACTAGCCCGCCTCTTCCTGCTTCTGCTCAACCACCTGCTGAGCTATTTCCTCCTTCTCTGATCCCTCCCTTCCTTTTCCTTCCTTCAAGCTTTGCTAAGTCCTCACTATAAACAAGACTCCTTGCTAGGGCCCTTTACACACAAAGATGGATAAGACATAGTCCCAACCTGTAAGGAGATCATGTCTAGGCCAAACTCTCTGAACTTAACGTCTTACCTAATTAAGCTGAGGTTTTCTTCTCTGGTACCAGATCTCTTTTCTTTGTGAGCCCCTGAAAGATCTGCCCAGATCCATCGTCATACAGATTTCTGATCGTGGACAAACACTCATGCCAATACACTGGCATATTGGCACCAAGCTGATAGCTAGGGCTATGAGGAAGAGAACAAGAAGCCTGTAGAGCAGAATTATAAGTTAAAGAGGATTGAGTACCAAGACTAGTATATTCGTCTGTTTTAACACCACTTTAAAGAACTACCTGAGACTGGGTTATTTATTTATTTATTTTTTAGAGACAGGTCTCACTATGTTGTCCAGTGTTGCCCAGGCTGATCTCGAACTCCTGGGCTCAAGCAATCTGCCCTCCTTGGCCTCCCAAAGTGCTGGGATTACAGGTGTGAGCCACCACACCCAGCCTGAGACTAGATAATTTATAAAGAAAAGAGGTTTAATTGACTCGACAGTTCCACATGGCTGGGGAGGCCTCAGGAAACTTACAATCATGGTGGAAGGTGAAGGGGAAACAAGGCATGTCTTACATGGCAGTAAGAGAGAGTGAGGGGGAAACTGCCACACACTTTTAAACCATCAGATCTCTTGAGAACTCACTATCATGAGAACAGCCTGGGGGAAATTGTCCCCATGATCCAGTCACCTTACACCAGGTCCCTACCTTGACATGTGAGCATTCAACATGAGATTTGGGTGAGGACACAGAGCCAAATCATATCATTCCACCTCAGCCTCTCCCAAATCTCATGCCCTTCGCACATTTCAAAACCAACCATGCCTTCCCAACAACCCCCAAAGTCATTTCAGCATTAACTCAAAAGTCCAAGTCCAAGGTCTCATCTGAGACAAGGGAAGTCCCTTCCACCTGTGAGCCTCCAAAATCAAAAATAAGTTAATTCCTTCCAAGGCACAATGGGAGTACAGCCTTTGGGTAAACACTCCCATTCCAAAAGGGAGAAATCAGTCAAAACAAAGGTGCTACAGGCTCCATGCAAATCCAAAACCCAGCAGAGCAATCATTAAATCTTAAAGCTCTGAAATAATCTCCTTTGACTCCATGTCTCACATCCAGGCCACACTGATGCAAGGGGTAAGCTCCCAAGGCCTTGGGCAGCTCCACCCCTATGGCTTTGCATGGTACAGCCCCTGTGGCTACTTTCACAGGCTGGCGTTGAGTGCTTGTGACTTTTACAGATGCATGCTGGCAAGCTATTGGTGGATCTACCATTCTTGGGTTTGGAGGATGGTGGCTCTCTTCTCACAGCTCTACTAGACAGTGCCACAGTGGGGACTCAGTGTGTAGGCTCCAACCCCACAGTTCCCCTCCACACTACCCTAGTAGAGGTTCTCCACGAGGGCTCCACCCCTCAACAGACTTCTGCCTGGACATCCAGGTGTCTCCGTACATCCTCTGAAATCTAGGCAGAGGTTCCCAAACTCTTGTCTTCTGTGCACCTACAAGCCCAACACATGTGGAAGCCACCAAGGCTTGGGGCTTGCACCTCTGAAGCAATGGCTTAAGCTATACCTTGGCCCCTTTTAGTTATGGCTGTAGCTGGAGCAGCTGGGATGCAGGGTACTATGACCTGAGGCTACACAGAGCAGCTGGGTCCTGGGCCTGGCCCATGAAACCATTTTTCCCTCATAGGCCTCTGGGCCTGTGATGGAAGGGGCTGCCACAAAGATCTCTGAAATGCCCTGGAGACATTTTCTCCATTGTTTTGGCAATTAACATTTAGCCCCTCTTTATTTATGTGAATTTCTGCAACCATAGCTTGAATTTCTCCCCCAGAAAATGGGTTTTTTCTTTTCTACTGCATGGTCAGGCTGCAAATTTTTCAAATTTTTATGCTCTACTTCCCATTTAAATATAAGTTCCTTGTGAATGCATATAACTGTATGCTGTTAAGAGCAGCCAGGCTACATCTTGAACACTTTGCTGCTTAGAAATATCTTCCACCAGATACTCGAAATCATCCCTCTCAAGTTCAAAGTTCTACAGATCTCTAGGGCAGGGGCAAAATGCTGTCAGTGTCTTTGGTAAAGCATAGCAAGAGTGAGTTCCTCATCTCCATCTGAGACCATCTCAGTTTGGATTTCATTGTTGGTATCAGCATTTTCATCAAAACCATTCACCAAGTCTCTAGGAAATTCCAAACTTTCCCACATCTTCCTGTCTTCATCTGAGTCCTCCCAAACTGTTCCATTCTCTGCCTATTACCCAGTTCCAAAGCTGCTTCCACATTTTCAGATCTCTTTATGGGAGTGCCACTCCCCTGGTACCAATTTTCTGTATTAGTCCTTTTTCACACTGCTATGAAGAACTACCTGAGACTGGGTAATTAATACCGAAAAGAGGTTTAATTGACTCACAGTTCCATGTGGCTGGGGAAGCCTCAGGAAACTTATGATCATGGTGGAAGGTGAAGGGGAAACAAGGCATGTCTTACATGGCAGCAAGAGAGAGAGCGTGAGCGGGGAGCTGCCACATATTTTTAAACCATCAGATCTTATGAGAACTCACTATCACAAGAACAGCATTGTGGAAGCTGTCCCCATGATCCAATCACCTCCCACCTTCCCCAACATGTGGGGATTACAATTTGACATGAGCTATTTGGGTGGGGACACAGGGCCAAACCATATCAGCTAGTGAGGCATAGGATATAATATAGAAGGAATAACAGAAATCAGGTTGTTTCCAGCTTTTTGCTATTTCAAATAATACTGTAACATAACATCATCAAACATATATTTTGATGCACATATGAGGGGACTTCAAAAAGTTCACAGAAAATGTAATTACAAACCATAACAACTAAAAATATAAATTTTACTTCTGAACATAAGCTCCATCAAGGTTAAGACAGTTTTGTAAGTGATTTTATCAGCCATTTAATTCATCCCTAAAAAACTGAGGGTCCTGGGAATATATCCATGTCAATATAGTCTTTTTCACATTATTAACTGAAGAAAAATGGATGCCCTTTAAAGGTATTTTAAGATTAGGAAACAGAAAGAAATGAGAAGGAGCCAAATCAGAACCATAAGGTGGATGCCTAATGATCTCCCACAGAAACTCTTGAAAAGTTGCCTTTGTTTGATGAGATGAATGAGCAGGAGCATCGTCATGGTGGGGAAGGACTCTCTGGTGAAGGTTTCCTGGATTTTTTTCTGCTAATGCTTTGGCTAAGTTTCTAAAACACTCCCATAATAAGCAGATATTGTCATTCTTTGGCCCTCCAGAAAGTCAACAAGCAAAATGCTTTGAGCATCCCCAAAAACCTGTTGCCATGACTTTTGCTTTTTTTTGTTATTTGTAGAGACAGGGTCTTGCTATGTTGCCCAGACTGGTCTCAAACTCCTGGCCTCAAGCAGTCCTCCTATCTTAGCCCCCAAAGTACTGGGATTACAGGCATGAGCCTGTACCTGGCCGACCTTTACTTTTTTTTGAGATAGAGTTTCACTCTTGTCACCTAGGCTGGAGTGCAGTGGCCCAATCTCACCCTACTGCAACCTCTGCCACCTGGGTTCAAGCTATCCTCCTGCCCCAGCCTCCCAAGTAGCTGGGATTATAGGTGCCCACCACCATGCCTGGCTATTTTTGTATTTTTTGGAAAGATGAGGTTTCACCATGTTAGCCAGGCTAGTCTCAAACTCCTGACTTCAGGTGATCCACCCACCTTGGATGTAATCCCAAAGTGCTGGGATTACAGGGGTAAACCACCGTTCCTGGCCAACGTTTACTCTTCACCAGTCTGCTTTGACTGGACCAGTTTCCCCTCTTGGTAGCAATTGCTTTAATTGTGCTTTCTCTTCAGGATCATACTGGTAGAGCTGTGTTTCATCTCCTATGACAATTTCATTTATTCAAAGAAGCGTTTGAAGATCTTGATCCCAAGTGTTTAAAATTTCTATTGTGTACAAGTTCTGCTCTTGTACACAGCTGATCTGAATGCAACAGTTTGGTTCCCACTGAGTGGAAAGTTTGTTCAACTTTAATTTTCCAATCGGAATTGTGTACGCTGAGCCAGATGAGATGTCTGTTGTGCTGCCTATTGTTTGGCAACAGAAGATTAACTGCTGTTCATCTTCAGTTCTCGTCAGTTAGGGCATGAATAAGATGAATTTTTTCTCACAAACTGATGTGGTTGAACTGCTCCTGTGGGCTTCATCTTCAACATCATCTCATCCCTTCCCCATCCGGCTTTTTTTTTTTTTTTTTTTTTGGCGAGACGGAGTCTTGCTCTGTCGCCAGGCTGGAGTGCAGTGGCACAGTCTCATCTCACTGCAAACTCTGCCTCCTGTGTTCAAGCGATTCTCTTCCTTCAGCCTCCCAAGTAGCTGGGAGTACACACGCAAGCCACCATGCCCAGCTAATTTTTGCATTTTTCATAGAGACAGGGTTTCACCATGTTGGCCAAGATGGTCTTGACCTCTTGACCTCGTGATCCACCCGCCTCGACCTCCCAAAGTGCTGGGATTACAGGAATGAGCCACCGCGCCCGGCCCGTTTCTTCTTAAAGAAGTTATCCATTTGTAAACTGCTGATTTATTTGGGACATTGTCCCCATAAACTTTTCATAAAGCATCAATGTTTTCACCGTCTTCCACTTAAGCTTTACCACAAATTTAGTGTTTGTTCTTCAACTGTAGCAGAACTCATGCTGCTCTGATAGAGGCTCTTTTCAAAGCGATCTTTCTTAGTGCCTCCGACTAGATCTTGTTTACACATGTTACCAACAAGTTGGTATGAGTTTGTTTCAGTGCCAAAAATGTTGAGATCCATGCATATTTTTTTCATAATATGTGTTTTCCATGAACATTTCGAAGACCCCTCATATGTTATCTCCATTGGATAAATCCTGGTGACTGCTGATTCAGAGTCTGCGTATTTTACATTTTAGGATACATTTCCCCAAACTCAAATGTGTTTAAAACTAAACCTATTCTTTTCTCCCAGACCAGACTTGTTGAGATCAGAAGGGATCCCCACTACAGAAGTGGCTCCCATGGCATCCCCTTTGTCCGGAAGCCCCAAAACGTCCACCTCTAGCAGCAAGAGCCGATATCGAAGCAAACCACGCCACCGCCGAGGGAATAGCAGAGGCAGCCATAGTGACTTTGCCTCAATCTTGAAAAGCCAGCCAGCCCAGGAAAATTCACCCCATCCCTCTTACCTACACCAAGCTCAATCCCAGTACCCTTCTCTCCATCACCATGATCCTCTGCAGCAGCAATACCAGCAGCCCCCTCCTGCCATGTCCCAGAGTCACCATCCCAGACTCAACATTCATGGACAGGACATTGCAGCCTGCGCCAACAACCTGAGGTATTTTGGCCCAGCAGCAGCCCTGCGGAGCCCACTCAGCAACCATGCCCAGAGACAGCTTCCTGGCTCGAGCCCTGACCTCATCTCCACAGCCATGGCTGCAGATGGCTGGAGAAGTTCTGAGCCTGACAAGGGCCAAACTGGTCCCTGGAGCTGTTGCCAGGCTGACCCTTATGACCCCTGCCTTCAGTGCAGACCGGAACAGTATGGATCCTTAAACGTACCCTCTGCTGAGCCAGTGGGGAGGAGCCCTGACCTTTCCAAGTCACCAGCACACAATCCTCTCTTGGAAAATGCCCAGAGTTCTGAGAAAATGGAAGAAAAAGAATTCAGCAGCTGTAGGTCTGAGTCATCCCTCGGCACCACTCAGCTCATCACCCCTCCAGTGCTACCTCGAAAAACAAGGCCTCTGCCAAAGGTAAAGTGTAACGACAAGAGTAGCCTGCATCACTGTCGTGTTATACACATTAGAAAGCATATGTAAACACCATACACTTTGGAAAAGGATAAGATAAAAGAAACATAAATAGAAACTTATTTTACTTTAAATTCGTTCTTTCCTCACTACGTGAGTGATAAGCTACAGAATACACTTTAGGAACTACTGAACCAGAGGACTGAATCAAATGTATGTATAATAATTAATGAGTAGATAACTATATGTTGGGGATATGGGATGGGTGTGGTGGCTCAAGCCTATAATCCCAGCACTTTGAGGAACTAAGGCAGGTGGATCTCTTGAGGTCAGGAATTAAAAACCAGCCTGGCCAACATGGTAAAATTCTACCTCTATTAAAAAAAAAATACAAAAATTAGCCAGGTGTGGTAGCACGCACCTGTATTCCCAGCTACTTGGCAGGCTGAGGCATGAGAATTGCTTGAACCTGGATGGTGGAGGTTGCAGTGAGCCGAAATCACACCATTGCACTCCAGCCTGGGTGGCAGAGCGAGACTCCATCTCAAAAAAAAAAAAGATAACTATATAGTAGGGATATGTAATCAACATAGTTTGGAAACCACTATCCTAGCAGTCTAGTCCTGAGGGATGTTATAGAGTAAGTTTTAGTTTAAGAAGCACAGTATTCTCTTATGCCCTCATGCAGATTCCTAGTGCACATGAACAAATCCTCCGCTTTGAGAAATCACATAGTCAATTTGTTTAACCAAGCATTTCCCTCCCCTATTTGAACATACAGCCTTTTAAAATTAACACCTATTAATCCCCCCTGGCACTACCTTTCTTCACAACTGACTTTGGAAAACACTGCCTTAATTTTTTTGAAACGGAGTCTTGCTCCGTCACCCAGGCTGGAGTGCAGTGGTGCCATCTTGGCTCACTGCAACTTCTGCCTCCCATTTTCAAGTGATTCTCCTGCCTCAGCCTCCCGAGTAGCTGGTACTACAGGCACCCACCACTACACCCGGCGAATTTTTGTACTTTTAGTAGAGATAGGGTTTTACTATATGGGCCAGGTTGGTCTTGAACTCCTGACCTTGTGATCCACCCGCCTCAGCCTCCCGAAGTGCTGGGATTACACAGGCCACTGGGCCTGGCCCCACATTGCCTTAATTTGCAAGTGTTGTGACCCAGACAGTTCTTAGTCATTGACATCTGTTTCTCTTCTCTGTAACCACTGGCTGCCTGAGATTTGTCAGCTGGGAGGCAGACTACCAGAGCAGTTCCCAGCATGGGCCTAGGAGCCAGGCAGATCTCACTTTAAAGACAGCCTCTTCCACTTACTAACTCGATGGACCTCAGTTTCCTTGTCTATAAAAATCGGTCTAATATTGGACTCTGCCTCATCGTTGGATATGAAGATTACATGCATTAATACATATAAAGTATTTAGAACAGGGCCTGGAACATAGCACCTTTCTGAAAGTATTAGCTCTTCTTGCTATGGGTCAAAAAATAAGGTTATGTATGAAAAGTGTTTACAACATGGTAGATACCCACCCAGTTTTAATTTTGGTTTCATCTCATCATCATTGTTCATCAGAAATTTAGCTGAAGAAATGAAAGGGTATAAAATGTAATGAGTATGTTTGGTCAACTAGGCATTGAGTAGAAAAGAAGCTGAAGCTGAGGGCTGTTGTCTGGGAACTGCATTTCCCCCTCCACCTACATTGCTGCTCCTGTACCGACTAAGCATGCCCAGAGATTAAATTGTTTTTCGGGGGCTGGGTGTGGTGGCTCATGCCTGTAATCCCAGCGCTTTGGGAGGCTGAGGCGGGCAGATCACCTGAGGTCAGGAGTTCGAGACCAGCCTACCAACACAGTAAAACCCTGTCTCTACTAAAAATACAAAAATTACCTGGGCATGGTGGGGTGTGCCTATAATTCCAGCTACTCAGGAGGCTGAGGCAGGAGAATCACTTGAACCCGGGAGGCAGAGTTTGCAGAGAGCCGAGATCTCACCACTGCATTGCAGCCTGGGCAACAAAGCAACACTCTGTCTCAAAAACTAAGTAAATAAATAAATAAAAATTGTGTTTCAGCTGGTGCAGTTGATTTGGGCCAATCCATTCTCTGCTCCTTCAACTCCAATGGCCAGTAACTTGTATTTTTTGGTAACTCCTTTATTAAGATACAATTTGCATACCAGACAGTCCTTCCTTTTAAAGCGTAGAGTTCAGTGCTTTTTCTCCACAGAGTTGTGTAACTATCACCACGACCAATTTTACAACACTTTTATCACCCCAAAACCCCGCACCCTTTAGCAGTCACCCCATCCCCCAGGCTCCTTCAAATAACATGTATCTTTGAACCTTTCTCATGCCATTTTGATACCATCTGTGGGTCTTTAGCCTCGTACATGTGGCCTCATTAGAACCTCACTCCCACAGAGCAGCTCAACTTCTCTTTACCAAAGCACAGTCCCGCAGGTTCTCCTACGGTAAACTACTCATCTCAGCAGTCAGGATAACTTCGTCTCTGTCTTTCCCATTTTCAAAAGAAGTATATCAGAATACAAATCAGTAAGGTCATGATATTTTAGAACTGACTTTTGAAAAGGAAAATTATTCTCAATATCTGGTCTAACCCCTTGGACCCAATTTCCCACCTCACAAGCGACTAGGTAATCCAGCATATCACTATGCTGTGGCTAAGGACAGTTGATCTTAAGTGTGGCTGCTCTTCTGCCCTTGGTTTGAGATGAGTTCTCTGAAAGCTCACCTCAGGCAGGGCACTTATCCCGCCTTCCAGATCAACCACAGAGCCCCAGCAATCACAGGGCCCCAGATGTCCCAGCCAGAGCTCCCTTATTGCTGCCAATATGCTGACTCACTAAAAATGCATTCAGCACTTACTTTTAATTGGCAAACAATAACTACATATATTTATAGGGATAACACCAATTTTGTATGCAGTATTGTATTAATGGAGCGAGGCATACAGTACAAACAGGATATAGTCTGACCCTCAAAAATGTCTAATTATGTAATATTAGTTAAAAAGTGATTGGTATATAAAAAGGGGAAAAGCAATTGTTGGGCTTTGAAGATTTGAAAGATCACTTCTGTGACAGAGCCAGGAACCGCTAGTGACAATGGTTACAAGAGACTGCTCCCAAATCCAAGACCTCCTCTCCAACTTCCCTCCCCATTACTCACCTCTGGACACTTTAATGGCGCCATCACCTCCCTGAGGACACAGATAAAGTTTTACTCCCTCCTACGCGTCTTTCAGCATCTAATGCAGGCCCGCCATTGTGGGTACCCTGGAGAAGTTGCTAAATGAATAATGAGGACATACATGTTTAAAGACGACATTCAGCAAGCTACTAAATGCCTTTTGACGATAATTACATTTTTTACAAATAGTGGGGATGGGGTGAGAGAGAGAGAGTGACACTAAAATAAATAAAACTCTTGTTTTTCTTGTTCTCAGAGTGGAGATGACTCCTCAGAAGAGGAAGAAGGGGAAGTAGATAGTGAAGTTGAATTTCCACGAAGACAGAGGTAAAACCAACAAACGTGCACAGTGGCTTTTAGCGGAGTGGGGAAAAACCCTAAGTTTGCCACACCTGCTCTTCAACCACAGGTCATTCCCCAACAGCCACGTTATGGGGAACTTTGAACTCCCTGGGTTCATGTTTCCCTATCGCCACCTTTTGGCAGTTGTCCGTGCACAGCAGATCCTAGTTCATCAGCATTTCTTTTACAGCAACCTTATGATGTACAGCAACCTCATAGATTCGAGGTTACCACTGAGAATACAGTGGGCCATTTGTGACAGATGGCCACGCTGTTGTATGGGTAACTGTATTGGTTTCTAGTGTGCCTCCTGTGTTAGCCTGCTTGGGCTTCTGTAACACAGACTGGATGCTTAAACAACAGAAATTTATTTCTCACAATTCTGGAGCTGGGGAAGTTCAACATCAAGGTTCTAGCTTACTTAGTCCCTGACGAAGGCTCTCATCCTGGCGTGCAGACAGCCACCTTCTTGCCGTCTCCCCACATGGCAGAGAGAGAGAGCTCTTCCTCCTTTCATAAGGTCACAGTCTTACTGGATTAGGCCCCGACTCTTATGGCCTCATTTAACATTAATTACTTCCTAAAGACTCTATCTAGATACAGTTAGATTGGAGGTTAGAGCTTCAACTGGTGGATTTGGGAGGAAGACACTTCAGTCCATAGCATTCCCTATGCCTTAGATTTCCTCCCACAAGTTAAACGTCCTTAGATAAGTTGAGTCCACCTTCAACCCAGCCTTAGAAATAGCTTCTGCTTAGATAGTGATGATAATATTCCTGGTAGGAGTAACTAAGGGCCATTTCCCCTCACTTCTAGAATAAAAGCTGCCGCTAATGTAGAGGAGAAGATAGTTTCCCTACCAGGAGGTCTTTTCTGTCATAGACATTCTGTTCTTGAAGAGTAATGCTCTAAGAGTCTCCCCAGGAAGGTATGTGTATCTGCCCCAAAACAGGAAGTCCCTACAAACCGAAGGACTCCTGGCTGTTTGATAAATTTTATTCCGGATCCCCACATTATGCACAAAAGTGAAATCTGTTCTCATTCTCTACTATTCCTGGGCTCTTGATGGCCTCTTCTTGTATATCCCTGATCTGCCCTGCTGACCCCCCACCAACTCTCACCCCATCACCTGGCCTGGGTATCAGCCAGGCCTAGGCCATATGGCATAAAATCTCTTTGTACTAGACCGGGATCTGTGGCTCATGCCTGTAATCCCAGCACTTTGGGAGGCTGAGGCATGTGGATCACCAGAGGTCAGGAGTTCGAGACCAGCCTGGCCAACATGACAAAATCCTGTCTCTACAAAAATAGCTGGACATGGTGGCATGTGCCTATAATCCCAGCTACTTGGAAGGCTGAGGCAGGAGAATTGCTTGAACCTGGGAGGCAGAGGTTGCAGTGAGCCGAATAGTGCCCCTGTACTCTAGCCTGGGCAACACGAGTAAGACTCTGTCTCAAAAAAAGTCTTTATGCTAAGAAATACAGAAAGATCAGACAATGGCAAAAGAAAAAGGCAGTCTTTATTTGTTTTGTTATATTTTTTAAACCATTGTAAGCTAATATTCTTATTTACTAAGCTGCTTGTAAACAATGGGAAGGAACTGAGGAACTTTTGTAAATTATCTCCCCAGAAGCTTTGGCTCATCAGAGCTAAACCTAGATGTTAACTAGCATGAGGTCCTAACTGCCTGGGCAGTACCCACAGCTGCAGAGTGAATGTTCCTTCTGAGCTCATTTCTGTTGGAGGTTGGTCAACAGGGGTAGTGAAGGTACTTGGGCCTCCAGGGCCACATGCCCAATGGACACTGGGCTCTGGGAAATGAAGTTAGGGTGGATTGACAGGGAGATGAGGGATGGAAGTTAGAGAAGGACACTGATCAAAGTGTGTGTAGACCCAGCTCGAGCCTCAGCTCTGCCTTTTCTGATGGAGTGGCCTTAAACAGGTCACTGCCCTTCTCTGGCTCCAGTTTTCTCATGTGGGAAATGGGTTAGTCCAGAGACTCTGCAAAGTCTTTTTCACCTGTGAGAATCTATAACTCTCTAAATAATTTCAATTTGGACATTTCCATACCTGCATACATGTACATAATGTGATTAGACAAGCTGATTGTTTTCAGACCATTCATAGCCATCAGCTTGGAGCATAGTGTTTAGTCACATAAATATATAAAACAAATGAAAGGGGAAATTAAAATTTCCTTCCTGTGTTAGTCACCTCAGGCTGCCATAACAAAACACTCCAAATTGGATGGCTTGAACAACAAGAATTTACTTCTCATGTTCTGGAGCTGGGGAAGTCCATGATCAAGGTGTCAGCAGATTTCGTTTCTGGTGAGGGCTCTCTTCCCGGCTTGCAGACAGCCACCTTCTGTTTCCTCACATGGTCTTTGCTCCGCATATGCATGTTGAAAGACAGAGCGAGGAATGGAGATAATCTCTTCCTCTTCTTATAAGGCCACCAATCCTATCTGATTAGGACCCCGCCCTCATGACTTCATTTAACTTTGTTTACCTCCTAAAAGCCCTATCTGCACATACAGTTGCACTGGGTATTAGGGGCTTCAACAAGGAATTTCATGGGAGATAAAAATTTGGTCCATTGTTTTAGCATTAAAAGTTCAGTAGTTTCTACCTATCTTTTTAGGCCTCCTCAATGGCAGGAAAAAACCTAGATGATCTCTACCAAAACTATGAGTGGCAGATAAGGAAAGGAAAGTAGTTGTTCCTGTGATTAAGTTCTCCTGGTTCTTCTGGTTCTAGGCCCCATCGCTGTATCAGCAGCTGCCAGTCATGTTCAACCTTTAGCTCTGAGAATTTCTCTGTGTCTGATGGAGAGGAGGGAAATACCAGTGACCACTCAAACAGTCCTGATGAGTTAGCTGATAAACTTGAAGACCGCTTGGCGGAGAAGCTAGACGACCTGCTGTCCCAGACGCCGGAGATTCCCATTGACATATCCTCACACTCAGATGGGCTCTCTGACAAGGAGTGTGCTGTGCGCCGTGTGAAGACTCAGATGTCTCTGGGCAAGCTGTGTGTGGAAGAACGTGGCTATGAGGTGGGGGCTTCTCCCTTCTCCTCCATCACTATTTCCTTTTTTGCTCTTTGGGGTTCGAGTCTCCAGATCCTTTACAATTTTCATTTAGTAATAAGATACAACAACGGCCTTGTATTGGTCTGTTCTCACAATGCTATAAGGAACTACCTGAGACTGGGTAACTCATGAAGAAAAGAGGTTTAATTGACTCACAGTTCCACAGGCTGTACAGGAAGCATGGCTGGGAGGCCTCAGGAAGCACAGTCACAGTAGAAGGTGAAGTCATGATTAGATGTGAAGCAAGCATGTCTTCACATGGTGGCAGGAGAGAGAGAAAGCGAAGGGGGAAGTGCCTCTCACCTCGAAACGGTCAGATTTCCTGAGAACTCACTCGCTATCGTGAGAATAGCAAGAGGAAAATCTGCCCCCATAATCCAGTGACCTCCCACCTCTGGATTATGCCTCAACACTGGGAATTATAATTCAACATGAGAGTTGGGTAGGGTCACAGAGCCAAGCCACATCAAGCCTCCAAAAAGTAAGTAGAAGTACAGAGATCAACAGAGCTCCCAGAAAGGAGGAGAGTTTCTCTCAAATGACACACACACATTGAACTGCTCAGGAAACCTTCGTGTCAAGAATTAACTCAAAAATCACCTCTTCCCACTCCCATCTCCCAACATGGTTAAAGGTCTGAGGTTAGGTCAGGTGTGGTAGATTATGCCCATCATCCCGGAACTTTGGGAGGCTGAGGCAGGAAGATCACTCTAGGGTCAGGAGTTCAAGATCAGTCTGGGCAACATAGCAAGACCTCACTTGTACAAAAAAAATTTTTATTAGCTGAGTGTAATGATACATCCCTGCAGTCCCAGCTACTGGGGAGGCTGAGGCAGGAGGATCTCAAGCCCAGGAGTTTGAGGCTGCCGTGAGCTATGATCAAACCACTGTACCCTAGCCTGGGCAACAGTGAGATCCTGCCTCTGAAAAAAAAAGAGAATTTTTTAAGGTCTGAACCTTCCCCCTCCAGATCCTGGCTCTTCCCTGGATGGTGTCATCATAGCACATACAGCACTTTCATATTCAGTATGCCTTTGGAGAAGCAGGCTAGCATAGTGGCTGTAAGTTTGTACCCTGGAATCCAACTGCCTGAGTGCAAATCATAGCCTTCCACTTACTGTGGGACCCTGGGCAAGCCACTTAACCTCTCCGTAAAATGGGGAGAATAATAGCGTCTGTCTCATAGGGTTATCGTGAGGACTAGATGGATTAACAGATGTGTTAATAAAGTCCTTACGACAGTGCCTGGGGCATAGTAAGCACTATATAAGCGGTGGTGTGGTGGGCACTGTTGTTACTGTCGTAGCCATCATCGTCATCATCTTCACGCGTCTTCTTTCTCCATAAGCCCCACAAGGACCGGACCTGGTCTCATTTATCTCTATAGTCCCCTTACCAAGTGCAGTGCCTGCTGTGTGGGAGGTGTGGTGTCTATTTACTGGGTGATTCTAGAAATGAATTCAGGTTTTTATTTTGTCTTGCCTCTGCAGAATCCTTTGCAGTTTGAAGAACTGGACTGTGACTCTTCAGATGGGGAGTGTTCTGATGCCACAGTTAGGACCGATAAACACTACAGCTCTGCTACCTGGTGATGAAGGAACGCGCATCCTGAAGACCTCGTGACTATACTGGCATCTCAGATCCACCCCACCCTCAGACTTGTCCCACTCTCTCCCAGCATTTGGTCTGGAAAGAGAGACTGCCTCACCTTTACCACCCCTAGAAATGAGCTGCAATAACAGGAACAAGAGACTTGGCAAATCTCTGGAAAATAATATCCAAACGAAATTGAGTCTCACTGAACATTTCAATCAAGAATGGCAGGGATCTATTTTATTGAATATTCTAGCTACTGTAACATTGATATTTATTTTTGTTTGACATTTTAACACTTTGTACTGTAAAGAGTGAACTATATATGAGATAGAGAGAGAGAGACAATAATTTCTTGCAGAAAAAAAAAGAAATGAAAGAAAAAGAAAAGAACAGGAAAAAAAGAAGTAAGTGGAATTTAGGAGCAACATCCTTGGGAATTTGTGGGGCCGGGAGGTATTACTGCTGCTTGAACAGGGGACCAGGTCTTTTGGCCACAAATGACTAAAGAAGAGCCAGAGCAAGACATTGAACATTTTAGAACACAAAGAACAGCGAAAGAAACTTGGGAACAGACCATGTTCACTGCAACCAGCTTGTCCAGGTGGGTTATGGACATGACCTAGAAAAGTATGGTGACCAGATACTCGCACCCAAGGTCTTCAAGGGCGTGTGCTTCTCCTGGAGGGGAAAAACAAACAAACCTGTATCTGTGGAAGCTGGTTTCATTTTTAGATGTTTAAGCAGCAGTTGGTCGTGAGGTTTACAGATAGTGTCAAATCTTGTTTTTGGCAAATACGTCCCTATTTAGTGCTGTCACTGTCATTGCCTTCACAAATGTGCTACCTTGACCCAGTGTGTTGATCCTTCATCCTCAAGTGCCGTTGCCTTGTAGCTTACTTCCTTGCTGCCTGCTGACCACTTCCTGCGAAACAAAGGTTGGGGGCAGTAGTGAGGGGGAGAAAAGGATAAGAGAGGAAGAACATCTACAACAGTGTTAGGAGAGCGAACGTGGAATCTGTAAAACCCCATTCTCAGGATGACTCAGTTCAGCTACATGGAGAAGATGGAATCGCCCCTCTCTGGAACCAGGTTGCTTGTCCACTTGAGTCCTATTGATTCAAGCAGGAGAACAGACTTTGAAGGTAGCTGGGATGTATGCGTGTCTATCCAATGTCCAAGCCCAAACCACCCCTTTGTTTTTATTCACTAACTCATTCTATCTTAGAAGTTTTTGTTGTTGCTGCTGCTGCTGTTGTTTTGAGACAGAGTTTCACTCTTTTTGCCCAGGCTAGAGTGCAATGGCACGATCTCAGCTCACTGCAACCTCCACCTCCCGGGTTCAAGCAATTCTCCTGCCTAGCCTCCCAAGTTGCTGGGATTACAGGCATCTGCCACCATGCCTGGCTAATTTTTCTATTTTTAGTAGAGATGGAATTTCACCATGTTGGCCAGGCTTGTCTCAAACTCCTGACCTCAGGTGATCCACCTGCCTTGGCCTCCCAAGGTGCTGGGATTACGGCACCAGCCACAGCACCTGGCCTATCATCTTAGAAGTCTTCATGACCACAGTGCTGGCCTGGCTTAGAAGTCTTAATGACTGGCTACACTGTCAGAATAAAGGCAAAAACAAGCAACTTGCAAAAGGCAACTCCTCTCCCAGCACAACAGCATTTTTGTTCAATAAATAACTGGATTTGAACATCTGTGGAAAGAACAAGAGATGCTGAGCAGGGATAGGAAGGATTTTTACGTCACCAAAAGCCTGTCTCCGGGGTAGTGGGCTCTGAAAAGCATTCCAAGGTGCTTCATGGTGCCTTGGCCTTCGGGAAAATTTTATTTAGAATTTTATGTACAAATAGATGTTGACCTAGTACCTGCCCCTGTCTCCAAGATAGATTACTGTCAAATGACCTCTCTAGATTCGCTAGACTCTTTGACATTGCATCATGTTGACCCTTAGGAAATACTTGCACAGACGGCTGTTAAACCATTTCCAATGCAATGAAAATGTTGCCCCTCCTCGGGTTTCACTGACTGCATCAGCCAAAAAGAAAAGGCAGGAGGGAATTTAGAGTTCCTTTCGCTTGTTTGAGCCCTCCATTTGTTTACACTTTATATTGATACATTGATTTAAAATGTAGTGTCTATGATTTATAGCTCTTAGGTAGGATGAAGGAAAATGTTTAATTTATACAGAGGACAGTATTGTTTGCATTAAATTATTCCATTTTGTAAAAATGCTGTAGCTGGACTACACGAACGACCTTAAGTTATGGCATCATTATCACGGTTATTTTATTTTATAATCTCATTCTCATTTTCTGTCGATCAGAAGGTGTGATTTATGATGTAGCACAATGATTGTGTTTATTGCTAACCAGGAATGATTATGGATTTTATTATTTTAATGAAGGAATGAAAATGGAACTGCCATTTGGGAGCTCCCTGGGCTTGACCTTAGCTGTGTTCCCTAATTTTCTGTGTACAACAATCATCTGAGGATGCATGTTCTGCCCTGAAGCCCAATGGATACATTATGATGTTGACTTGATTGTGAACGCTCTTGCGTGGGCCGATGGCCCCCAGGATGTCAAATAGTGGATGGACATATAGTTCAAAAGCTGTAAACTTGCTCAAGTTTCTTAGGAAATAAAATCATGGGACTGTATTAGAAATTAAAAGAGAATTATTTAATGTCCTGAGAGGAACAGATGTAGAGGGCTGATGGATTCATTTCAAGAACTGACAACATAGTTTGCAGTCTCCTTCCTGCCAGAGCCCTTTATCCTCCTAGTTGGGAGTAGCAGGGAGACTAAAAAATGAAATGGTATACAGTAGTCCCCTTATCCACAGCTTCGCCTTTCATGGTTTCAGTTATGCTCAACTGCAGTCCAAAAATATTGGATGGAAAATTCCAGAAATGATTCCTAAGTTTTAAATTGCACGCCAGTCTGAGGAGCATGATATCTTGCCCCTTCCTACCCTGGATGTGATCCTCCCTCTGTCCAGCACATTCATGCTGCTCATCCATTAGTCACTGGGCAGCAGTCTCGGTTTTCAGATCAACTGTCTCGGTATCACCGTGCTTATGTTCAAGTACCCTTATTTAATTACTAATAGCCCCAAAGGGGAAGAGTGATGTGCCTAATTTACAAATTAAATTTTATCACAGATATGTAAGTATCGAAAAAACAGTAGTATATATAGGGTTTGGTACTATCAGAGATTTTAGGCATCCACTGGGGGTCTTGGAACATATCCCCCACAAATAAGGGAGGACTACTGTATATACCTGTAGGATATGACATAAAATGCCTAGCTGTGATGTCATCCTAGAACAAGACTAAAGAACTTTAAGAAGGAGGCTTGGTCACATAGAGGACCAAGGGCTGGAAAAATATCTTGAAAGGCCATATTTTCAATCCTCTGACTTCAGATCACACCGTACTGTAAATCTCTTTCATTATTCCTTGGAACAGAGATGCTACAACTCCATGTCTTCTTTCTGTCCAACATAAGACACTGACACTTTTATGCAATTCCTGCCCACCTTTGGTGGCAACAGAGAAACATGAGGGTCAGCTTCTATCTTACATGGTTCGGTGATGGTCTTCCTAGAAAACCTACACCAATACCTCATAATTTTGATCAGTTTTTTTGAATTCTCATCTTGATGATCTGTTATGCTATTGTCATCCATCTTATCTGGATTAACTGTTATGAGTATGTTAGGGCAGTAGGGAGCAGCTGAGTATCAGTCATTCATTGTGTAATCAAGAGTTGAATAAAGTCCACACTGAACACATTTTGATGAGTAGAATTGACTAGAGGTTTCAGAGAAGAATGATATTCCTAGTGGAGGTTAAAAAGGGAAATACCTTTTCCGTCCCAGACTAGTCCTTTGCTGCCTGCCTTGCGATAACCGGAAACATCTTGAGTTGATGTATGTTTCTTAGAGAATGACTCCACAGTCATCTGAAGAGTGTTGAATCAAGAGCGCAGGGAAGTTATGAGCTGTTCTTCAGTCCTGACAAGTGTGTTAACAACCGTGCTTCCAGGAACCTCATAAGCCTATGGTTTCAAGCTGCTTCATTGATGCAAAGTTTAAGCATCTTGGGATGAATGTCCATGTACAGTTAACATCTGTTTTTGACTGACTGCAAGATGATGACTTAATTGAGGTTGCAGATGAGCATTTGGTTTTGATTTCCATCTATTTCTAGATCATATCCTCTGGGTAACAATTCCTCTTAAAATTGCTTTGCAGAGGGACGGAGAAGCCTGCATCTACTTTGAAATTATAATGGACCTTACTGCCACTTAAGTTTAGACTTGTTTGCAAGATGGTGGGGAGCGCCTGCTTAGAAAGATGAAAATGCTAGCTGTATTCTAAGCTAGCATCTTCATCTAGCTATTTGAAGTTAAGATACTGTATTTTAAAATGTGGGTGTCAACAAATCAACCCTTTTAGAATGAAAGAGATTTTGAGTAGGATTTAGTAAGTACTGGACATCTACTGTAGAGCTTTGTCATGCTAAATTATTCCCCTCTCCTTAAGTAATAGATGCGCTGGTTTGGGGTTTTCCTGGCGCCAACCCAGACTTTTTTTTTTGAGACAAGATCTCACTCTGTCACCAAGTTGGAATGCCCACCTCAGCCTCCTGAGTAGGTGGGAGCACAGATGTTTGCCACCACGCCCAGTTTTTTTTTTTTTTTTTTTGGAGAGATGGGGGTTTCCCTATGTTGCCCAGGCTGGTCTCAAACTCTGGGTTCTAGCAATCCTCCTGCTTTGGCCTCCCAACTTGCTGGGATCACAAGTGTGAGCCACCACACCCAGCCTCCAGACCATTTTAAATGCCCTCCACCACTGTGTCATATTGGCATCCTTTAAGAATAAATCATCCTTTTGATCAGATGATTTACTCTTTTTTTCTTCAATGTCCTTATATCTAAATGTTTTTTTTCCCTTTTCTTAAAACAGTCCCACTTGAACTTCCTGGAACTGAATTCTCCAGAACATAATATTTATGATCCATAGAATGCCTGCCCTACTTTGCAGTAGTGTGTGCTGTTTTGTTTTCCCACTGAGCCAGAAACCAAAACATTACACTACCACTTACCATCATCTACCACCTCCAAGACCAACATTATGTATTGAGTACCGTATGTTTCCCACTGAGCCTAGACACAGCCTCAGAACCTCTCCACGTATCACTTGGAGCAACAATTGCCACTTGACTGGAATTGCCGTCTGAGCTTGAGTTAGTCCCAATGGGAGAACGACAGGCTCACACCAGTGTTCTCTTATGGAATCACCTGTGGCTGTCAGGGGCAGTACCAGTGAAAGGGGAAAGGCACTTGCCTCTACCCACTGCCCTTTTGGATGACACGTCTAATTGAAGGAACAGCAACCACTGATGGATCCAATTCCAAAATGTCTCTTCATTCACATCATTCAATTCTGTTGAATGAATATGTTCCTTCCTCACCTTTTATAAACAGGAAGTTCATATAAGCCCCAGTTACTTGCTTCTTTAACTCTGTGAGACTAATGTACCAAAACAATGTGACACTCTTTTCGAGACTTTGACTTATACTGTCACTATGAATTTAGTGCCTTTCCAGGCAGCAAAATGTTTCTTCTTTGCTGAGTTCACAGGACAAACAGCCCAAGATACTCGCACCCCCAGTGTTAGCAACCTCACAGACTGGTACATTAGAATCATATTAATCTGCTTGTTTGCATGTTACAACTGATACGGCAAATACCTATTCAAGCTGGACTGAACTAGGCTAAGTGGAGGACCTTTGTGGAACCTGGCGCATTTCTCAGGGGCAGGTGGCTAAAGAGGGGAGCTCTGACTTCACTGCTTTGAGAAACAGAAGGTGGGTTAAGGCTTGTGTTAACTGTCACATGGCCAGGGTATGATGGCAGGATTTCACAGAGCCAAGCCCTAAGCAGATGGCAAGGCCACTGTAAGGAAGCTCCAGGCAGCATCCCAGCTCTGCTCTCCAGAGCCACTTCACGGCACTCAGGGGATCGCTGGCTCACGGCCACAGGCTGCTGTCCAGTGACCAGGTAGACAGGGTCCTCCAGTGACTGCAGGCCAGCACGTGCAAGCTGTTGGGAAGATGTCCTATCTTGGCCGTATCACCCCAGTGGCTCTTCACTCCAGAGTGACCACTTCCCAGACTCTGGAAGTGGGAAGACCCTCTTTGATGCTTTATGACAATAATTTGAGCTCCTACTGATTTGGAGCAAATGAGTTTCTCTTTTGTGATTAAGTCTCCAAATGAACTCCCCTACCTGTCTCCGCTCCAGTTTCCTGTACTGTCAGCCCCCAGCTCCCAGTGTCTCTGATGCCGGCTCCCTCTCTATGTTGAACAGCAATGGGAACAAGAACGACTGTCAAAGCAATCAAATGCATGGAATTAAAAAATATACTTCACTGTTTTCTAGTCCTGTCTTTTTCTAAATGTAGTGTTTGTGTCTTGGGAGCTGCCTTAACAATCTCAGCATTTGTCAGAACTTGAGGGAAAGGACTTTACGTGACTAGGCTCCTGCAGCCACGAAAAACAGGTAATGGGAAAAGCTACTTTCTGTGGTTCCTGTATCTGACACAGCCACAAAAGGCAGAGGCAACCCTCTTCTTATTTGGCGACCGCTTCTTGAGTATTCTGTAAAGGCTAGGCCGGCACTCTGCTTCTTCCCTATGTTTTCCTGCTGCTCATCCAGTAGCTATTCCTGTTACTAGTAACCCCGCCATACAGGGAGCAGAGAGAGAAAAAGAAGATGAAAATCTGGTTTCCGAGGAATTATTTTGGTAAGAAGCATACTGAGAGTGGAAAGCTTAAAACACTATTTTCGACTGTCCAATCTTCAGCCAAGCCTGACTCCCACTGGCGAGGGTAGTTGAAAGTTAGCAACATGTTCAAACAAGCACCACACTTATAGCCATTTGGGTATTTATTTGGGAAATTGCTTTGGCTGTAAACTCACAACTGATAAGGCACATTATTTCAAAATCATCGGGGTGGAGGGAGATAAATCTAAGGATCCTGAAAAGGGGTAAAGGGCACACAGTTGCGGTGATGTGGAAAACTTCTTTCTCCTCCCTTCCCCCTGCTCCAGGACACGAAGGGCCACAGTCTTCCAAATCTGCTGCCTTCTACCCTCACTCTCGTTATCAAGGCTTCTTTTCAAGAAAAACGCATTTTAAAAAGTGAAATCCTTGCTGTGAAAGGATCATACCATAGCCAGCAACATCACCTGGGAATCCATCTTGAACAAGAGGCCTAGATTAAAGTCTTGGCAAGACTCTTGGCCAACCCAAATCATCAACCCAGTAGATGAAACCCAAGAGCAACAGTCTGGTTAAGTCCTGATGAGTGACTCCTGTGGGATCAGGCCCACAGGGCCGGTCAGTTCAGGTGCCAAGGTCCTGCTGTCTTTGGAAGCATTCATCCAGTCTGCCAATTCTGTAGTGCAGCTAGAGGAAGTAATGACAGCTACAGGCAATGAAGATACAACACAACAAAGTTATCAGTAACCAAGGTTTCCTCTTTAAAAAATACAATTATTCTTCAGTTACTCTCAGCAAATAAAAAATGAAAAACATTCAGAGGGCATACTGCCTGAGGGCTCCATATTGCCTGAGGACTCCATATACTGAACCCATTCTCTGAGCATGACACAGAAGGAATTCCTGCAGAAAGGACAGATAAGAACATGTTTGCCTGCTCATCTGATTCAGGGGAGTCAAGGGCCCTGCCCCATCCAGATGGATAAGAATTTCTCCAGAACATATCCATATCTCCATTCATATTTAATAGTCTGTTTGCGATCAGTTTAACGGTCAGGACATGCAACCACGAGGAGGTGTGACATACATGGTAACATCAGAGTCTGAACACGAGCATTACAGAAATCATGTATGCGAGCAATACGTGGAAGTCCTAGGCAGTTCGTCAGCTTGTTTCCCTTGGCTTATGAAGAGGTAGGTCATCAGCAAGAGAGTACAAAAGAAACACTCTTCAAGAGACCAACAAGATGAAGAGCCACGTCAGTGATGTGGGTTCCCATGTCATCATCGGAACTAAACATCCACAAAGATGCAAGAGGAGGGCATCTGTCACAGCAGCCTGTCACCCTGCAAAAGAGGTATTCTGGACAAGGACAATCAGCATCTTCTCCCATGAGGACTGGCATGAGGGAAACATAACAGGCTATCCTGAGCTCCTTGTTAGACCACAAAATATAAAGAGCATTTTCTTTTTTTTTGTTTGTTTCTTTTTTGTTGAGATGGAGTCTCACCCTATCACCCAGACTGGAGTGCAGTGGTGCCACCTCGGCTCGCTGCAACCTCCACCACCCAGGTTCTAGCGATTGTCCTGCCTCAGCCTCCCAAAGTGCTGGGATTACAGGCATGAGCCTCTGTGCCCAGCCACAAACAGCATTTTCTAGGAGGCATCCATTTGTAGTGTCTGCTACACCAGGGCTGGTATGAAAAGCTGATATAATACACCTTCAAGAGCAGAGTGTCCTTTATGACCAGACACCACACATCGATGCACAGTGCCATGTCACCTACTGAAGGCAATTAAAAACAATAAAGGGCTTTAGAGGACCACACCCATGACACAAATAAGCAACTGAGTCCAGAGAGACGTGGCAAACAGAAAATCCAGATCACGTGTCTTTTCTACTATGCGTATGATCAGCAATGCTTGTTTCATTCAATTGCAGATGTTTCTGACTAAATTTTTTAATGAGTGTTCCAGGAATTAATGCCACCATGGCAATAGCCAACAGCTTAAAGGCAGTGTCCCAGGAGAAAAGAGCATCCAGAGAGCTTAGGGTTGACAGGATGGAGCCTGTCTGCACACAGATGAAATTGTATGGGATCAAACCTGGAAGAAGAAAAGGGGAAAGCACCTGTTACTAGCAGCAGCAAAATTAAGAAAATCCTAATTCAGAAATGTCACCAGGAACAGTGAGTACAGATTTTGCCTGACTCTTGACCCTTACACGTATTAACTCTTCCCTTCTTTCCTTCTTTTCTCTTCTTTTCCCTCTTTTCCTCACTTCCCATATATACCTCTCTTGTTCAACAAAAGAACTTGAGACATTTACACAAATAATACATGCTACTATAAGATAATTTTACAATAGGGCCAGGAACAGTGGCTTATGCCTGTAATTCCAGCACTTTGGGTGGATCACTTGAAGTCAGGAGTTTGAGACCAGCCTGGCCAACATGGTGAAACCCCATCTTTACTAAAAACACAAAAATTAGCCAGGCATGATGGCATGTGTAATCCCAGCACTTTGGGAGACCAAGGTGGATCCCCTGAGGTCAGGAGTTTGAGACCAGCCTGGCCAACATGGTGAAACCCTGTCTCTACTAAAATCACAAAAATCAGCCAGGTGTGGTGGTGTGTGCCTGTAATCCCAGTTACTCGGGAGGCTGAGGCAGAAGAATCGCTGGAGCCGAGGAAGCGGAGGTTACAGTGAGCCAAGATCTCACCACTGCAATTCAGTCCAGGTGACAGAGCTAACAGAGCTAGACTCTTCTCAAGAAAAAAAAAACTGATAGGAAAAATAGGAAAAGCAAAATGCTTGCAAAAGAATATAAGACATCAGGGAGTATAGTTAGTAGAAAAATGTATAAGGTTTGCTAAAAGTGGGCCCCAAATTTGGTTCTGAGCACCCACCAGCCAAAGTAAAGAGAGAAGTGCTGTTGAGATTTGCAGTATGCATAAGATTAAAAACAGTTTTTTAAAAGACGTACTACGTACATTCTGCACTGTTTCAAAGAGGTCATCAAATCCCCTGGATCCCAAAAGTCTGACTGGCTGAACAGGCTGGCTGCAGAACAATCAGTGGGTGACACTGCTACAAACCACATCCCTGGGCTCCACCCCAGAAATTCTAACTACTTGGCTCTGGGGCAGTACCCAGAAACCTGTATTCTAAAAGCCCCTTCTCCACTCCCACCCTGAGATTCAGATTGGTTTGGAACCCTCTGATAATCCATTCTTCTTCTATAGGAGAGGAGGTGTAAAGGAGATGAAGACCCCAGACCCCTCAAGGTTACACAGCTTGTGAGATGGGGGACAGAAACCCTGGTCTCCAGATCTTGCCAAGCCTCATGCTACCTAGGTAATTAGAAGCTGCAAACCCCCACTAGCTGAGGTTCTCAGGCCGATGTGACCAGAATTGGCTGTGGTAGACCTTGCTTCTATTTAAGATCTCCATTTCTCTCAGGTATCCCCTATTAATAGCAGCCGCTCAACCACACATTTGTTCTGTTTGACCTAGAAGCCCTGAATTGCCTTTCCCTTTAGGTTCTAAGGAAGGTTAAGAGAAAGTGATCCTTGCCTTAAGCTTCAGGAGGGTGGTTTTCTTCCAGTACAGAGAAAGTAGCAGTCACTGATTTTATAGGATGTTAGCACTTTACCGCTCTGATAAAGATGGTCGAAGTCCCATACTTTGAGCCACACTGCTCTAGTCCCAGCCCTGATCTGGATGAGTGGCCCATTGTGAGTAAGTGGCTTGCTAGAGGTCACACAATTGTCAAAGGCAAGGAGAAACTTTAGATATTGTCTAATTCAGTAAACTGCAACACTCAGGATCCAGCGGAATCCCTTCTAGGGACTAACTACTCATATTAAATACCTGCATCACCGGAAAAACATTAAAAGCTCCTGATCCCCGAGTCCCACCCCAGAGATTATTTAGTTGATGTGTGGTGTGGCCTTAGTTTAGGGATTTTTAAAATCTCCACAGGTATTTTTTGAGGCAGAGTCTCATTCTGTCGCCCAGGCTGGAGCAAAGTGTCACACTTTCAGTTTACTGCAACCTCGGCCTCCTGGGTTCAAGTGATTCTCCTGCCTCAGCCTCTCGAGTACCACCACACCAGGCTAATTTCTGTATTTTTAGTAAAGACGGGGTTTCAACATGTTGGCCAAGCTGGTCTTGAACTTCCGACCTCAGGTGATCCACCTTGGCCTCCCACAGTGCTGGGATTGGCCTAAAGGTGATTTTTAATGGGTTTGCAGTTTGAGAACGACTGGATTAAAATGCATATTCCCAGATCCCACCCCCAGGATTCTGATTCAGTAGGTCTGGAGTACACCCCAAATCTAGATTCTCAACAAGCCCCCTGACCCTGCCAATCTGATAAAAGTGGCCCAAGGCCCACACTTGGAGAAACACTGCTCTTTTCCTAGCCTCTCATCCACTGAGGGTAAGTAGCTTGCCACGGGTTGCGCAATTGTCAAAGGCAAGATGGAACCTCAGGGATGCCAGCTCTTCCTAAGGCAGAACTTAATCCAAACAGGGGCCAAAAACCAGGCAGGAAGTCCCTTGCTCTGCTCCTTTCTTCTGTCCCCACTCAAAACTCATGGACACATACCCTCATTCCAACCCTGCTCTTCCTGCTGGCATTTACTGAGTACTTACTATGAGCCAAGTTATGTGCTTTACATAGACTATCCTTCTAATCCCAGTTCCTAGCACATACAGCTGTGCAATGAACAATATTTAGTACAAAGGTATTTTTACGGGTTTTCCTGCTGCAGCCTGAGTAGATCTGAAATCAAGAATCATTTCTTTAGACCCTAAGGCTTCAGCCGCACTTTGTGAGCCTGTGGTCTCAGAAGCAGGCACATGCTCACATGGCCGACAACCCAGGGCAGACCCCCAACGTGACAGCTGTGAAGACTCAAACCTACCCCACCAGCATCTTACCGATAAGAACTGAGAAGAAGAACTGCACGATGGGAATGTTGAGAATCGGGGCCGAGAGGTTCAAGAACCAGTTTGGTGTCATGGGGAAAAGTCTCAAAAACAGTAAGAAAAAAAACAAGCTGTTTCTGTTCTCCTCCACCTGTAGCCAGAGGACAAAGCTGTTAAGAAGCAGACAGGGTCTCCAGGTACTGAAAGCCTGCTGGCGCCAGGCACTGTTCTAGACACTTTACATAATCTGTTCCCAATTCTTCCACCAACCCTCCAGGGAGAGACTGTTTTCCTCATTTTAAAAATGGAGGTGCTGAGGATCAGAGAAGTGGGGAGTTTGCCCGAAGTCCCAGAGCTGGTAATGATGGAGCTGGGATTTGATCCCAGGTCTATGTCTCCTGAAGACATCAAAAGAGCCCCTAGGATCTCCTGAGATGGCATGGAAGAGCATTGTGGGAAACCCCCGCTATGTGCATCATTCAAGGCACGTGGTGACTCTCTGGGGTCCCAGCTCTCAGGTGTGACCCCTCCCCTTACCTTTCTCTGCAGCAGGACCACTTTATCAGGAAAGTAGGACACCACCAACTGTTTGCCAAAAACACTGGAGAGCAGGTAGCAGCATGTGGCACCCACCGAGGTCAACACACAGCAGAGCAGAAGCCCCAGCCACGGCCCAAACAAGGCACCAGCCAAAACATTCTGCAAAGAAAACAAACCCTCAGGCGGGTGAACATCTAGCAGCTACCAGGCACCTTATCTTGGAGCCTAAGGAGGTTCCCTCCTCCTTCACTGTTTCTTCCCAGCTAAAACCCAATTGCCTTTCTCTCTTCGCTTCTTCCTTTCTCCCTCCCACTCTCCCTCTTTCTTTTTTCTTCTCTCTCCTTCTCTCTTCTTCCTTCCTCTCTTCCTTCCCTCCCTTCCTCTTTCTCTTTCTCTCTTCCTGTCACAGGATCTCCTTCTGTCATCCAGGCTGGAGTACATTAGCATGAGCACAGCCACTGCACACTCAAACTCCTGGACTCAAGCAATCCTCCTGCCTCAGCCTCCAAGGTAGCTAGGACTGTGGCACACGCCACCAAATCCACCTACTTTTTAAAATTTTTTGTAGAGATGTGGTCTCACTGTGTTGCCCAGGCTGGTCTCAAACTCCTGGGCTCAAAGAATCCTCCCACCTCAGCCTCCCAAAGTGCTAGGATTACAGGCATGAGCCACTGCCCCAGGTCCCCATTGCCATTTTAAAGAGGTGAATGAAAAATTACGAAAAGGCTGGGAACTACACCTGGCATCAGTCTCTTCACCTTGAAAATGAGGATAAGGATTAAAGCCTCAAGGGATTTAGATGGGATCTGTGGCTGTGGTAGCTTCTGCAGTTACTGGGGCTCCAAGAAAGTAGAAATGAAACTCACAATTTATTTTTACTATTTCAAAAGATGAACACAAACCATGAATTTCCCCTTGATAAGACCGCACAAGCTATAGAAGACGTCTTGTTTCTTTCATCTTTGCTAGAATTACATCTGTGTAGTATGCTAATCCCAGGGGTTCCATGTTGGCCAGAGCTCTAGCCAACACTTGAAGAAGTCTTGCTCTAAGAAAAATGGCAAAGTGGGCCAGACACAGTGGCTCACGCCTGTAATCCCAGTACTTTGGGAGGCCAAGGCAGGTGGATCACCTGAGGTCAGGAGTTCGAGACCAGCCTGACTAACATGGAGAAATTCCGTCTCTACCAAAAATACAAAATTAGCCGGGCATGGTGACGCATGCCTGTAATCCCAGCTACTCGGGAGGCTGAGACAGAATTGCTTGAACCTGGGAGGCAGAGGTTGTGGTGTGCCAACACTGCAAGACTGCACTCCAGCCTGGGCAACAAGAGTGAAACTCCATCTCAAAGAAAAAAAGAAAAGAAAAGAAAAATGGAAAAGTGAACCAATACTTCCTAAATGCATTCTGGCTGGTAGATATCATCCTGACAAAACATGGGATCCAAGAGAGAAAGAGAAAGCCTTGGAAGTGGGAAGGTGGGGAACTGCTGAGTACGCTGTGTTAAGTGCTTGACTACATGTCCTGTGTCATCCTCACTATATCCCTGAGTCATGCCATCCTCACCCCATTCTACAGGTGAGAGGTTAAGTATCTTGCCCAAGATCACAGCAGGCAGAGTCAGGGTTCACCCTCAGGTCTGGATGTGGAGCCCCCACCAAGCAGCAGCTGGCTCTCTGCCCTGAAGAGGGATCAGCTCAAGACAGAAGACAGACACAGGGCAGCCTCAAGGAGTGAGCCCCTGACCCAGAGCACCACACACCTCCCCTGTCCTCTTGGACATGTCTACATTTCTCCTAGTTTCAAGGAAACTGCTTGAGCAGGTCTAGCCTCAGCTAGAGGAGAGAAACATCATGGGGCAAGAGAGGGAAGCAGTATAAGAGGAAGCTGTCAGTGTCTCCCACTTCTGTGCTCACTCAATCCCTCAGTAGACACTGAGGGCCACTGTGTGCCAGCCCCACTACACCCACTGTCAAGTTTAATCATCTCCACACAACAATCCCAGGAGGTTACAGGGGAGTATCCGAATTGTGCAGAAAAGGAAACAGAATCGGAAGGAGGGCAGGACACTGACCAGGAAGCTGGAGCCAGGAATGGCAAAGCCCTGTTTGTAGAGGTAGGCGCTGCAGAAGAGCAGGAACACGTAGCCCTGGTGCTCCTTCCGGTATTCTCGAAGGACCTCAGAGAGCTCCCGCAGCTCTGCCAGGTCAGAGGGGAACCACAGTGACCTGCAGATTTGGAAAAGCCAATGGAAACATGAGTTCAGATCAGCCCAGTGCTTACGAAAGTCACTTGCTGTGTCTACTTTTCAGAGTAGGTTTATAAATATGCCCATCATCTGGTCTGCTGGGAAGACATACATTCCCAATGACAGATGACCTGATACGACATTGTAGAGACAGACAGGAGAGCACTAGTTTGGAAGCAGGAGACCTGGCTTAGCATCCCAACCCTGCTACTTTCTGTTACATGTCCTTGGACTAGTCCCTGGGTCTGTTCCCTTATCTAAAATATGAGGGGTGGGTGTTAAATCATCATGAAGTTCTCCTTTAGCTCTGGGATTTTAAAATCTGTTCTTAAGAGGCAAATGGATTCTTTTCCAGGCAAGTTCTAAATGTCCTAAATTGCCTTCCTTTCAAGGACACTGACTCCCCCACAAACCAAGAACGATTCAGACTTCAAACTGTTCCTGAGGTGCCAGGTAAAATGACTTTTCAGCATTCACTATGATGCCAATTAAATATTCTACAGGAAAGTATATCTATCCCATACCATAAACATAAGTTTTTTGATAATATGTCAGGCTTGAATCGAACCCTTTCAAAGAGCCTACTATTTCACTCTGCTCTTAATCTGGTCCTCAGTGTACTCTGTACACTATAACCCTGTCCAGGAGTTACAGTATAAAGGTTACTTTGCCTCTGCCGACTGAACAGTCCTTGACTCCATCACTGATTAATTACTTCTCCTGCGAATGCTTCTCTTGGTTATGTCTGACACCCTCAGCAGAGACTTCTTAGCTACAGCAAAAGAACACAATAACTGAAAACAGTTGCCCTAATAGTCAAATCTCAGTAATTCCCTTGACCACGCAATGCTGTACTAGGCACACTTCCATGCCCTTTATAAAGAGTATGCAGCACTCACAAAAACCTGCCAGGTAGGTATTGCTCTGCCACCTGCCTCAACCAGTAGTTCATTATAAGGAGAAAAGTAGGCCAGGCACAGTAATTCCAACACTTTGGGAGGCTGAGGCAGGTGGACCACCTGAGGTCAGGAGTTTGAGACCAGCCTGGCCAACATGGTGAGATCTCGTATCTACTAAAAATACAAAAATTAGCCAGGCCTGGTTTCGGGCGCCTGTAGTCCCAGCTACTCAGGAGGCTGAGGCAGGAGAATCGCTTGAACTCGGGAGGAGGAGGTTGCAATGAGCCGAGATCGCGCCACTGCACTCCAGCCTGGGCGACAGGGAGAGACTCCGTCTCAAAAAAAAACAAAAAAAAAACAAGAAGGGCAAAAGTAGAGACAGCCAGGAAGAGGGCAGAGCCGATAACTGATTCGTGAATAATTTAAAGTTGTCCAAGCAACATTTCTCCTGAAGACGTAATGTCTAAAGTCTCAAGGGGAGGAGGAGAGGCAGCTGAAAGTGGGCGTGATGGGGCTGAGGACCCGCACGGGGCGAAGATCGGCGGGTACTGGGGAGGCAACGGCGCGGGCAAGCTCAGCGCCGCGCCTCCCTCTGCAAATCCATCCAACCAAAGGCGGCGCGGCGCCCCGCACACCCGGCAGCCGGCGCCACACAGGTCCCATCCACCCGCCTGTCCGAGACCGTGTGGACGCGGGCCCAGATACCAGACCGGATTCTAGTCCGATAAGTGAACCGCAATTCCCAGCCCCAGACGCCGCCGATACAGGAACCCGGAACCCGAATCTCCGAACCTCCGATTCCCAGCCCCGGTCCTCGGACCTGGCTCCCTTCCGCCGCCACGCACCTGCCCCCAGCCTCCTCAGTGGAGTCCAGTCTCCGCCCGCGGGGCAGTCGCGTCGACAGCAAGTACAGGGCGAAGGTGCAGCCGGCGAAGACGAGAAGGAGGCCGAGCAGCGGGCGCATGTCGGCTCCGCACCCCGGCCCACAGGGCCGCCAAGAAGCTAACTGGAGTCGCGGGACGCAGCGGCGGGCGGACTGAGCCAGCGGAGCACGTTAGCGAACGGACCGGGGCGGGGTCCGCGCCAAGCCCCGCCCCCGAGCCAGGCCCCGCCTCCCGGGCCAGGCCTCGCCGGCGATTCTGACTCCTGGTAAAACTTGCCTAGCGGTCTGTCCTCTCTCCTGTCCGTCCCTTTCTCCACTTAATCTGCAGGCATGGAGCTCCCCCAGTGCCGCCTCGGCGCCAGGGTTGGCAGATCCGGGGGTGAATCGTGAGCCCAGCCCGCAGCGAGCTTGCAGTCTAGGGCTCGAGGCAGTCTTGTCCACAACACGAAGCAAATGCAGCCGGTGTAGCACCAGCGGCTGCAATCAAGTGCGGCTGGGCGGTAATAGTGACCGCGGAAATAATCAGAATTGCTTTTTATTCAGCCCCTACTATATTCCCATTATCCCTGAGCCTCACAGTCATCCTGCAAGGTAGGTGTTTGTGCCTTTCTCTAACAGATGAAAACTCTGAGTTTCAGAATTAAATAACCCCCCAAAAGAGAGCCAGTATAAGAATTCAAGTCAACCTGGGTCCAAAACCAGTGGTCCTTACACTGTGTGGATTCATGGAGGAGATGGAGTTTACCTTCAAGGATAAGCAAGACTTCTGCAAGCAGAAAGAGGAGGGAATGGGTGAACTAAGGCCCAAGTAAGGCACCAGAGTCCAGTTTCAGTGAAGCCTAAGGTATATGAGAAATAAGTGAGACTCTGGGGACAAACAAGAGTGCAGTGAAGGCAGGCTAAGGAGTTGGATTTTTTTTTTTTAAAGACAGGGTTTCACCATGTTGGTCAGGCTGGTCTTGAACTCCTGACCTCAGGTGATCCGCCCGCCTTGGCCTCCAAAGTGCTTGGATTACAGGCTTGAGCCTCCACACCCGGCCGGAGTTGGATTTTCTAATAATGTAGATGACACAGCAACAGAGGTATTTAAGTAAGAGAATGATTCAGTTCCTGTTTTAGGATGTTCGCTTTGGCAGGTGATTAGAATACACGCTGAGTTGATAGCCGCAGCTGCCTTGATAAGAAAGCACGCCAGCCTGGCTGGGTACAGTGGCTCACCCTTGTAATCCCAGCACTTTGGGAGGCCGAGGCGAGTGGATCATTTGATATCAGGAGTTTGAGACCAGCCTGTTCAACGTGGTGAAACCCCTTCTCTACTAAAAATACAAAAATTAGCTGGGTGTGGTGGCGCGCGCCTGTAATCCCAGCTACTCGGATGGCTGAGGCAGGAGAACCGCTTGAACCCGGGAGGCAGAAGTTGTAGTGAGCCGGTATCGCACCACTGCACTCCAGCCTGGGCGACAAGAGCAAAACTTCGTCTCGAAAAAGAAAAAGAAAGAAAAAAGAAAGTAGGCAGGCCTAATCCAGGAGGGAGGAGGCTGAGGGGAGTCGAAATGGTATATGTCACTGAGTAAACGAGGAAGGCATAGAAAGAGAACGACAAAGTGTCAAAAGCCTGCAGAACAGAGAGAAAGCAACCTTGTCATATCATTCAGAGCACCTGTTAGGCAGAATAGGGAGCATCTTTCAGAATCTATGTGCAGATCTTAGCAATTCCACATCCAGGAATGCCCATAGGTAGCGAAGATGTATATTTAAGGGTGTTCTCTCAGCTTTGTTTTGTATTAGAAGGTTGGGAATAACCTAAATGCCCATCAGCTGGGTACTAAGTTAATTACGGCATATTCACAAATGGAATACTAGGTAGCCTCCTCAAAGAGGAAGTCAATTCTACATATTCTGATACAGCGTGGTCACCAGACAGATGGCTAAGATACAAATACAGCAAACAAGTTGCAGTGTTAGACTATACTATGCCTTCTTTTTAAGGACAAAAAGAGGATGTACTTTATCTTTTTAAGATACCAAAGTATTTATTTAAAAATTTTTTCAGGCCGGGCGCAGTGACTCATGCCTGTAATCCCAGCACTTTGGGAGGCCGAGGCGGGTGGATCATGAGGTCAAGAGATCGAGACCATCCTGGTCAACATGATGAAACCCCGTCTCTACTAAAAATACAAAAAAATTAGCTGGGCATGGTGGCATGTGCCTGTAATCCCAGCTACTCAGGAGGCTGAGGCAGGAGAATTGCCTGAACCCAGGAGGCGGAGGTTGCGGTGAGCTGAGATTGCGCCATTGCACTCCAGCCTGGGTAACAAGAGCGAAACTCCGTCTCAAAAAAAAAAAAAATTTTTTTTCACAGAATTGTCATAGCATATAGACCCCAAAAATATTTACAAGTGAAATTATTCAGTGTCTGAGATTTGTATCAAAATAATGGTATGGGGGTTTAGTGAGTAAGGACATAGGTAGAACAAGATTTTCCATGAGTTGGAGTTGATAGTTGTTGAAGCTGAGTGATCCCGGGTGTTTTATACTATTTGAGTGTTATACTTTCTGTTTTCTATTCTTGTGTATGTGTCAAATTTCCACTTAGGAAAAGGAGGGGGCTGGTCACCGTGGCTCACACCTATAATCCCAGCACTTTGGGAGGCCAAGGTGGTCAGGAGATTGAGACCATCCTGGCCAACATGGTGAAACCCCGTCTCTACTAAAAATACAAAAATTAGCTGTGCGTGGTGGCTCATGCCTGTAGTCCCAGTTACTTGGGAGGCTAAGGCAGAAGAATAACTTGAACCAGAGTCAGAGGTTGCAGTGAGCCGAGATTGTGCCACTGCACTCCAGCCTGGCGACAGAATGAGACTCCAAAAAAAAAAGAAAATGAGGGGAAATGGTATGGTCTCAGCCCTCCATTCCAGCTGAACACACCATTTTAGTTCATGCCCCATCACAGCACTCTTCCAGCCATCCGTCAGTCTTCTCTGCCTGGCAAGTTTCTACTCTTTCATCAATACCCAGGATAATTATCACCTTCTCTAAGGGGCCTTCTCCATCCTCTATAGTCAGAAACATTCCTTCTCTATGCTTAGGGCCCCCTGAGCAATGTCTGTAATCCTGTTGCAAATACACATCCCAGCATCATTATCCATCTCCCCAGTAGACAGTGAACAATTCCATAAATGAGACAGTGTCTCATCTATCTTCTTTCTGTTTCAACTCTTAATCCTGGCACTTAATAACTATTTGTTAAATTCATGGGTCAGGTCTAGTGAAGACAACGATTAGTTGTCTGGTTTGGTACATATTGACCTTGAGAAGTCAAAGGGATATAGGAGAGAAAGTGAATGAGGAAGTAATGTTATGAACCTGTGCTAGGAGACTGCTGGGGCAAGGAATGGAGGAGGGAGAAAGGAGGCGAAGCTCCTGCTGTCAAGGACCTCGCTTTCCTTCCAGCTGGGGAAGAGTGTGGAGAGATGTAATTCTGGAGCATGGTAAGTGCGATGGATGAAATGGACAAGGCCAAACTTATTCCACTTCAGCAAAGCAACGGTCAGTATTGTACTTATGGATGACTGGATGAACACATGTTGAGATGAAATACCTTGTGCAAAGTTTACAGCTGTGAGTGCTGAGCAGGACACGAGCCTTTGTCTGCCATCACATGAACTCATGCTTTTTCCTCTGCCTTCACTGCCACTCAACATGCAGGTGAAACTCTGGAGCTCAGACCAAACATTCAGATTTGGAGATCATTCTACAGGAGAGAGTTGAAATAAGGGGAGGGAGAAGGTCTCCTAGAAACCGCAAGAGAGGGAAAGTAACAGCAGGTGACTTTCATGGAGTACTTAGTACACTCCAGACCCCGTACGAAGCGTTTTACTTACATGAGTTTACTTATTCCATGTAACAACCCTCATGAAGTAGGAACTCATTTTGTAGAGACAGGGTCTCCCTATGTTGCCCAGACTGGTCTTGAACCTCTGACCTCTAGTGTTCTTCCTGCCTTGGCCCCCCCAAAGTGCTAGGATTACAGGCTTGAGCCACCACACCTGGTCTAAAGTGGGAACTCTGAACAGTCTCACATTTATAGTCTGGGAAAATGAAGCTTAGGAAGAATGAAGTCAATAGAGCAACAGACGTCACACACCGCAAACGGCAGAGCCCAGATCTCTTACCATCTACTACCTTTCTGAAAAAGTGGATCAAAATCAGAAGCTGTTAAGGAAATGGTGGAACCAGTGAAAGAGAACAAGATGCCCCATTCCATTTGTGGGATGAAAAACAGAAAAAAAGAAGGACCTGAGAGCCCAAGAAAGACTTTAGGAAAGAAACTGGGGTACAGTGGCAGAGCGCATGAAGAAACCCAGCAGGGAAACCTGAGAGTCATAGAATTTGGCCAACACCAGGTGGTAAGGGACCTTTGACAGAGCTCTTTTGAATGGTGCTTACCTGCTTTGCTACAGGCTCAAGACTGGAGCACCTGCTTGCTTCCCCTGACCTGCCCCCTGGACCCATGTTGTGATTCCTCTTGGTCAACCTGTCTGCCTGGGGAAGAAGCCCTGGACTGTGCTCCCCAACCTCAGCATCCCCAACCCTCCTGGCCCCCAACCCAGTACCTGCAGAGCTAACTCTGACCAGCCAGGGCACCTCCTGCAGGCTGCACCGGCCCCAATCAAGGTCACGCATTTACAGCACATGCCCATACATGGTGTGACCAAAGACAGCCGCAATCCTCCATCAGCTGCAGTCCTTTCCCAGGCACTTGCTGGACCGGGTTAACAGGTGGGAAAAATGAAAAGGTAAGAGGTTCCTCCAGGAGCAAGTTAGCCAGGCATTTACTGTGCCTCTTTGTCAACAGCAGGCAACCTTTTTTTGCCTTAATCAGACTTCCCCAAGAAGTGACAAAGGAGTCAACTTCTCTCTTTTCCAGGAAGTCTGGGAAATGGGCTATTGGCCTCCAAAGCTAATGAAGACAATAGTAAAATAGTTGAAAGAAGCAGCTCTGAAGGCTGTGATTTTGCTTCCCCACCCCCACCCAAACCAGGACTGACTGGAACTGGATAGTCTTCCCCAAGAGGAGGAGTCAAGGGCTGTTTCCTGTCCCTGGACTTTAGAATTGGGCCACCTTGTCAGTGAGTGGCCAAGAACGCAAGGAAGCTGCCCCATGAAGGGAGCTGAGCTCAGTCAGAGATTCATGGCAGAGCAGTAGGGTTAATAAAGGCCCATGAACTCTTGTTGCTGAAGGCTCTAGGGCTGCCCCATCTCTGCTTTTCCTGAGATTATTTGATGGATCACCTCTTCCTGGGTTTCCACAAGTCTTCTCTCTCTCTCTCTCTCTCTCGCTCTCTCGCTCTCTCTCTCTCTCAATAATCTATTACATTTGGGTGTCAGCAGATTTCCGTTTCTGACATCCAAAGTCCCCTTGGCTATGACATAGTTCTATAGGAATGAGAACAAGGGGAAGGGTCCAAGGGCAGGAGGCTCTAAGTTTAGGACTTTAGAAATAACACAGGTAAGTGTGCTGATGTTTAAATCAGAATGGAGGTGATTCCCCCAAGTGTCTAAGCATGATCCCTTCCATTCTGTCCAACAGACATTTATTGAGCACCTACTTTGTGCCTAGCATTGTGCTAGATGCTAGAGAGGCAAAAACAAATAAACAGCAGCTCCTCTTGTGGAGCTTACAGTCTTGGAGGAGTTAAAGACATGGAAACAAATTACAACACAACATAACAGCAGTGACAGAAGCATGTGTGATGTGGTTTGACTGGGTCCCCCCCAAATCTCATCCTGAATTGTAGTTCCCATAATCCCCACATGTGGTGGGAGGGACCCGATAGAAGGTAACTGAATCATGGAGGCAGTTTCCCCATGCTATTCTCGTGATAGTGAGTTCTCACGAGATCTGATGGTTTTATAAGGGGCTTCCACCTTCACTCAGCTCTCATTCTCTCTCCTGCCACCCTGTGAAGAAGGACGTGTTTGCTGCCTCTTCCACCATGATAAGTTTCCTGAGGCCTCCTCAGCCATGAAGAACTGTGAGTCAATTAAACTTCTTTCCTTTATAAATTACCCAGTCTCAGGTATTTCTTCATAGCAGCCTGAGAAGGGAGTAATGCAACGGTGGAAGGGAGAGTCGTGGAAAAGCAAACAAGGGAGGGTTTTAACTACAGCTTGGCCTCCTCCAGTAATGTTGTAAGGTCCTGGAGGGTTTTGGCAATGGTGCTAAAATGGGGTTTTAAGGGCAAATTCCCCTAGATTATGGACAGGTGAGCTTGCTGAAGTGTCAGGACCACCTGGAAGATAGGATAAGAAAGACAAAGGGGCTGGGCACGGTGGCTCACACCTGTAATCCCAGCACTCTGGGAGGCTGAGACAGGTGGATCACTTGAGGTCAGAAGTTCAAGACCAGCTGGCCAACATGGTGAAATCCCATCTCTACTAAAAATACAAAAATTAGCTAGGCGTAGTGGCAGGTGCCTGTAATCCCAGCTACTCAGGAGGCTGATGCAGGAGAATAGCTTGAACCCGGGAGGTGGAGGTTGCAGTGAGCTGAGATCACATCACTGCACTTCAGCCTGAGCAACAGAGCAACACTCCATCTCAAAAAAAAAAAAAAAGAAAAAAAGAAATAGCAAAATAGCCAACTTCTCTCTTTTCCAGGACATCTGGGAAATGGGCTTTTGGCCTCCAAAGATACTGGAGACAAAAGTAACAAAGACGTCTGGGAGAAAAGTCTAAGGCATGGAAATGGACTATAGCTAGGGTGGAGGGAGGTCTGCACTCACAACTGAACGTGGTTCCACGGGGCTCAGAAGATAACAAAGAGTGTTCATTGAATAAACATTTCTGAATGCAGAGTATATGGTAGGCACCCGGCTCCTGCCTTGAAGACCAGTCTAGTGGAAAAGACAGATATTTATCAAATAATCATGCAAATAAAATGTTAAAAAAAAATAGGCCAGGTGAGGTGGCTCAGACCCATAATCCCAGCACTTTAGGAGGCCAAGGAAAGCAGGTCACTTGAGGTCAGGAGTTTGAGATCAGCCTGGCCAATATGGTGAAACCCCATCTCTACTGAAAATACAAAATTTAGCTGGGCGTGGTGGCACACACCTGTAGTTCCAGCTACTCATGCAGCTGAGGCACAAGAATCACTGGAACCCGGGAGGTTACAGTGAGCCAAGATTGTGCCACTGCACTTTAGCCTGGGGTGGGGGAGGGGGGAGAGAGGGAGGGAGGGAAGGAAGGAAGGAAGGAGAGAGGAAAAGAGAGAAAGAAAATGTTTTTTAAAAGTACAACTAAAAAATGCTATGAAGGAGAGGTACAGTGTGGAGCCTCTGTATGGAAATGAGGTCCAAGAAGACTCCTGAGGAACTGGCAATACAGCCATGATCCTTATGATGAGTAGGAGATCGCCAGTGAAGAGGGGAGGGAAGAGGGCAGACTGTAATTTAATTGTGTCTTGAATTTGGCACTCAGACAGATACATGGTACTGACAAAGGGAGGGGAGGAGAGGTAAGGATGACAAGAGACAGTCAAAAGTTCCAGGGGCCCTTGGCAGAAAAATTTTGAGAAGAGTGAGTTCACACCGATAACTGCCTTTATTTCTCTTGATCACTGTCATATGAAACTTACTGAAATTCATCTCCTCTCCAGTGAACAAACTTTTCTTTATCCATTCATTCATCCATCTACCCATCCCACAGTGAGCCAAGTACTGAGCTAGAAGACCCAGGAGCCCAGATCTTACAAATTGGTAGAAATTCTATTTCTGGAATTTCCTGCTATCATTTTGACTCCTGCTTACCAGGCAAGGAAAGAGAACAAAAAAGTGACTGTGCTAATCAGAATACAGGACCAATAAAACTCTAAGAAGAAACCAGGGCCTACAGCACACTGATCTCTCTGTCCACCATTGCTAAGGAAATGTGGGAAGGAGGAGGAAGGATGGTGAGATGTCCAAGAGCTTGTTCCACTCGGAGTCCAGTCATCCCTCACTTAAACAAAACAGGCTCTGTATGTTACAAATGTAAATCTGTAAGATGTGCCACACAGGAATATATTTATAGATTTCTATAATTTATGACAGAGTCTATTTCTTGGTCGGGGGTGGCGGCTGACGCCTGTAATCCCAGCACTTTGGGAGGCCGAGGCAGGCGGATCAGTTAAGGGCAGGAGTTTGAGACCAGTCTGGCCAACATAGTGAAACCCCATCTCTACTAAATATACAAAAATTATCAAGGTGCAGTGGCAGGCACCTGTAATCCCAGCTACTTAGGAGGCTGAGGCAGGAGAATCGCTCTTAACCCAGGAGGCAGAGGTTACAGTGAGCAGAGATCACACCATTGCAATCTAGCCTGGGCGACAAAAAAAGCGAAACTCTCTCTCAAAAAAAAGAAATGTGGGTTGCCTGTAAAGTGATCCTTCTCCACCTTAGGTGAAAAACAAACTCTGCTTTTCCCTCTCTTGCCCTGTCGCTGTGTGGAGAGGCTGCCCCACAGCTTCCTTGTCCTTCTTTCCTCATCCACTTACCATCTAGTCCTAGCAGCCACTCTCTTAGCTGTCAGTCCACCCCACCTTCTCCAGCTCCTCTATGCTCCAACACTTTAGAGAAAGCAGAGAGCCCGCATGTGACTTTCTTGCCTTCCCAGATCAAACAGTCCAAGAGAGAAGCTGGTGTTGATAGAGAGAGGCTCTCTTATTGTAAATTAGATAAGCCCTATGAAAATAAATAAAAGCATATTCACATTTATCACACATCTCATAGATGTGGACCCATGGGATTTCAAAAAAGCCTTCATAGACTTGCCTCCAAACCCACACAGCAGCCCGGTGAAGTACAGGTCAGTTTCATTCCCTTCTACATGCGAGAACTGGAGAAATTTGGCACAGAGAATGCAGAGTTGAGTCCACAGTGAGGCCTCCAGTCCGTCCTTCCCTTGAAGATGCTTGACCTGGAGCCGTGATGGGTAGAACCACCCGAGTGACAGGCAACAGAATTGACAGGTCAGAACAAAGGAGGCCCCAGGACGCAGCAGACACAGCGCTGGGCTGCCGCAAGCCTGGCTATTTCTGACTTGCCCTAGTTAGGGGCTCCCTTTCCAGGATCGTTTTATAATCACAAGGTTGTTTGATGTTGTACAATGTGACATCCATAGATGCTACTGAAAAAAGCTTTGGGGTTTTTTTGTGCATTGCAGAAAAGGTGAAGTGATGCTTTAAAACAGCCCGTCGTAGCTTTCTTTCTATTACTGATGCCCATGTGTCCTGGCAACAGTTACATCTGCAACTTTGGGCACAGAATAGGTTGGAAGACTGTTTCAATGTTTTCCATCAGGACAAGATCATACCGACACAGCTGGGGCCTGGGAAAATAAGGTAAAATATCCTTGTCAATGAAATTATAAAAATGCAATGGTCTAGTAAATTATACTGTATCCTTAAGATATAAAAAATTATTTAGCAATTGTTTTTAATATAGAAAATGCTTATGGTGGCCAGGTACAGTGGCTCATGTCTGTGATCCCAGCACTTTGGGAAGCCGGGGTGGGTGGATACTTGAGACCAGGAGTTCGAGACCAGCCTGATCAACATGGTGAAACCCTGTCTCTACTAAAAATGCAAAAAAATTAGCCGGATATGGTGGCATGTGCCACCCTCCCAGCTACTTGGGAGGCTGAGGCATTGCTTAAGCCTGGGAGGTAGAGGTTGCAATGAGCTGACATTGTGCCACTGCACTCCGGCCTGGGCAACAGAAGGACTCTGCCTCAGAAACAAAAAGAAAGAAAATGCTTATGGTAAGAAAAACACCAAGGAGAAAGCAAGGTGTAAGGCCGGGCACAGTGGCTCACACCTGTAATCCTAGCACTTTGGGAGGCTGAGGCTGGCAGATCACCTGAGGCTGGGAGTTCGAGAACAGCCTGACAAACATACTGAAACCCTGTCTCTACTAAAAATACAAAAAATTAGCTGGGTATGGTAGCACATGCCTGTAATCCCAGCTACTCAGGAGGCTGAGGCAGGAGAATTGATTGAACCCAGGAAGCAGAGGTTGCAGTGAGCCAAGATTGCGCTACTATACTCTGGCCTGGGAGACAGAGCAAGACTCCATCTCAAAAAAAGAGGAAGCAAACAAGATGTAAAATTGTATTTACCATATAACTTCAACTGGCTTTAAAACAATAAAAGAAGGAAGATTAAATAGAAATAACAAAAAAATGTTAACAGTGGTTGCCTCTGAATAATGACAATATTGATTAAATCTTGCAAGTAGACTCACTTGGTGATAATTTTCTGCTGCCTAACACGTTTCTGCTTTCTAGATTTTATAAAATAAAGATATATTGTCTGATATTCAGGGGAAAAAAGTATTAAAAAGTTTTAGGATGCAATGACTATCCTTTTAGAAGAAACTCGTATTACTAAATGTTTTAGGGTACCCTAAACTTTCTTTTTTTTTGAGGCAGGATCTCACTCTGTCACCCAGTGGTACAATCTCGGCTCACTGCAACCTCTGCCTCCCAGGTACAAGCAATTCTCCTGCTCAGCCTCCCAGGTAGGTGGGATTACAGGCACATGCCACCACCACCTGACTAATTGTTTATATATTTGGTGGAGAAGGGTTTCAGCATATTAGCCAGGCTGGTCTCAAACTCCTGACCTCAAGTGATCTGCCTGACTTGGCCTCCCAAGGTGCTGGGATTTCAGGCATGAGCCACCGTGTCTGGTCCCTAAACTTTTGAGAAAAGGAAATTCATAAAGTACTAACTGATCACATCATTTCCTGTCTCCCTCTCTGTCCACAGGTTAGATGCTAGGACTGTATGGTAGAGTGGCATTTGTTACAAAACATACATATCAGTACAGCTCTGTACTTAAAAAAAAAAAATTCTTTTTTTCCTTCTCCCCCTCTTTATCTATCTATCTCCCCACACATACATTGTTTATTTTTCTAACGAAATTGAGAATAGATTATTTACTCCTTAATTCATTGTATATTTCCTAAGAACAAGGCCATTTATAGTGCCATTATCAAATTTAAGAAATTTAATATAATACTTTTGTATTGTCAAGGGCACAGTGGCTCACCCCTTTAATCCCAGCACTTTGAGAGGCCGAGGTACATGGATACTTGAGGCCAGGAGTTCAAGACCAGCCTGGCCAACGTGGGGAAAACTTGTCTCTACTAAAATTAAAAAATTGGTTCCCCGGTAGCTCAAAGCCGGGTTCAGTGGCTCACGCCTATAATCCCAGCACTTTGGGAGGCCAAGGTGGGTGGATCACGAGATCAAGAGATTGAGACCATCCTGGTCAACAAAGTGAAACCCCGTCTCTACTCAAAATACAAAAATTAGCTGGGCATGGTGGTGCGCGCCTGTAGTCCCAGCTACTCGTGAGGCTGAGGCAGGAGAATTGCTTGAACCCAGAAGGCGGAGGATACGGTGAGCCGAGATCGTGCCATTGCACTCCAGTCTGTGTAACAACAGGAAAACTCCATCTCAAAAGTTAACTGGGTGTGGTGGACACACGTGTGGTCAAGGGAATAAAATGTTCCAATTTTCTGTACCTTTTTTTTAATACTAAGCTCTGTTTTGTCAGCTTCCCAAATTATGCAAAACTTTCTTTTCTACAACAAATTGCCAACTTACAAGCAGTGGGGTAGTTAGGGAAGAACTGTATAATTCTAAGCATATAACATTATTCCTTGGATGAGTAGGTGATCTGTCCTTAAATGCTTAAAAACAAGCAGCCCAGTAATTCAAGAAAATGATACACACAGTATCATTTTCTTGAATTACTGGGCTGCTTGTTTTTTGGGTTTGTTGTTGTTGTTTGTTTGTTTGTTTTTTGAGATGGAGTCTTGCTCTGTTGCCAGGCTGGAGTGCAGTGGTGCAATCTCGGCTCACTGCAAGCTCTGCCTTCCGGGTTCTAGCAATTCTCCTGCCTCAGCCTCCTGGGTAACTGAGACTACAGGCGCGTGCCACCATGCCCGGCTAATTTTTGTATTTTTAGGAGAGACAGGGTTTCACCATGTTGGCCAGAATGGCCTCGATCTCTTGTCATCATGATCCGCCCGCCTCAGCCTCTCAAAGTGCTGAGATTATAGGCATGAGCCACAGTGCCCACCTTATTTTTATTTAATCTTTTTGTTTTTATTTTGAGATAGGAGCTTGCTATGTTGCCCAGGCTGGACTCCAGCTCCTGGGCTCAAGTGATCCTCTCACCTCAGCCTCCTGACTTTGGGATTACAGGCATACACCACCAAACCCAGCCGGGCTACTTGTTTTCTATTTTGTGTTTTATTTCATCTTTTTCTTTTTTTGTACAGATAGGGTCTCCCTCTGTTGCCCAGAGTGGCGAATTTTTGAGCTCAAGAGATCCTCACACCTTGGCCTCCCAAAGTGCTGAGATTTTAGGCATGAGCCGCTACACTTGGCCTGGGCTACTTGTTTAAAATCATAACAATTTGGGGAAAACCCAGTGTGTTCTTCATTGTGAATAATGGAGTCTTATTAAAACATCAGACCAAGCACATTGGACAGGATCCAGCAATATCCTTGGAAAACAGGTTTTGTCAAACCCTGCCCTCAGCTCACCTGTCCGGATGGGCAAGGGACCTTAACTTCATTCGGAGGATCCTGAGCTGGTACCTCGGGCCAATTACAGATCCTGTAGAGAACACCAAGGAAATGGCAGCCACCTTTTCCAGATCTTGATTAAATCTTGCAAGTAGACTCACTTGGTGATATTTCTGAAATGTGGTGGGTTCACTGGAAGGAAGAAATAATATTGGAAAATGGATAAAGACTACTAATGAGAGAGAGCAGTTCTGAAGCCGGCAAGTCATTGGGAAGCAGGTAACCACTTCACCCCATAGGCTTTTTTTCTTTCTGAGACAGGTCTCACTCTATTGCCCAGGCTGCCGTGTAGTAACCTCCCAAGAACTAGTCAACTTTGATGGGCAAAGTCTGCTGATTCCAAAGGGCTATGTAAGTGACCCCAAAATGACTTTAGAAAGATACGCTGCTAATGACACTCACTACACGGCAGATGATGTCCTTGTCTCTTGACTCATCTCTCCAACCCCCTGAAACATTCTGCAGGGGGTGGGGAGCATTATCTTCCTCATTTAATAGACAGAAATAGATGCTTCCAGAGATCTAGCTCCCCAGGTGACAGGGCTTCAATGTAGCAGTGAAGAGATTCCAACCCAGTTCTGGCTGAGTTCAAAGTTACGATCTTTCCCATTAAAATGCATCCCTAGCCAGGTGAGGTGGCCCATGCCTGTAATCCCAGCACTTTGGGAGGCTGAGGTAGGTGGATCACAAGATCAAAAGTTCAAGACCAGCCTGGCCCATATGATGAAAACCCATCTCTACTAAAAATACCAAAATTAACTGGGCGTGGTGGCGTGTGCCCGTAGTCCCAGCTACTCAGGAGGCTGAGGTAGGAGAATCGCTTGAACCCAGAAGGCAGAGGTTGCAGTGAGCCAAGATCATGCCACTACACTCCAGCCTGGGTAACAGAGCAAGTTTCTGTCTCAAAAAAAAAACAAAGGAAATCCTGTTACATGCTACAGTATGGATGAACATCAAAGACATTATGCTAAGTGAAATAAAGCAGACACAAAGGGAGAGATGCTGTATGATTCCATTTACAGAAGATCTCTAACACAGTCAAATCACAGAAACAGGAAGTAGAATGATGTTCACTTTGGGGTGGAGGGAAGGGGAGTTGTTTAATGGGTATAGAGTTTCGGTTTCACAAGATGAAAAGGTTCTGGAAATCTATTACACAACAATGTGAATATACTTAACACTATTAAACTACACCCCAAAAATGATTAAAATGGTAAATTTTATGTTATTAATTTTTACAATAAAAATTTCTTTTTTGAGATGGAGTTTTGCTCTTGTTGCCCAGGCTGGAATATAGTGGTGCATTCTTGGCTCACTGCAACCTCCACCTTCTGGGTCCAAGCAATTCTCCTGGCTCAACCTCCTGAGTAGCTGGAATTACAGGTGCGCCCCACCACACCCAGCTAATTTTTTGCATTTTTAATAGAAACAGGGTTTCACTGTGTTGGCCAGGCTAGTCTCGAACTCCTTCCTGACCTCAGGTGATCCACCCACCTCAGACCCCCAAAGTGATGGGATTACAGGTATGTGCCACCACACCCAGCCAAAAAAGAATTTTCTTTAAAAGACAGACAATAACAAGTGTTGGCAAGGATGTGGAGAAATTGGAACCCTCATACACTGCTGGTGGGAATGTGATGAACAGTACAACTGCCAAAAAAGTTTGGCATTCCTCAAAATGTTCAATTAGAACGACCCAGCAATTCGATTTCTGGTATATACCCAAGAGAAATGAAAACATGGTAACTTAAAAACTTACGTCCAAATGTTCATAGCAGTATTATTCATAATAGCCAAAAAGTAGAAACAACCCAAATGGCCATGAGTGGTGAATTAAATGTGGTATATAAATACAACGGAATACTATTTGGCCATGAAAAGGAACAAAGTATTTCTACATGCTACAACTTGGATGAATCTTGGAAACATTAACCAAAAGAAGCCAGGCAAAAAAGGCCACATATCATGATTCTCTTTATGTGGCATGTCCAGAATAGGCAAATTCATAGAGAACGTTTAGCAGTTGCCAGCGGGTAGAGAATAGACATGTAGAATTACCGCTAAAGGATATAGGGTTTTTTTAAGGTGATGAAAATGTTCCAGAATTAAATGATGGTGATTTTTGTACATTTTGTGAATGTATTAAAATTTACTAAATAGTATACTTTACTTTTAATTTTTTTCTTTTTGAGACAGGGTCTGGCTCTGTTGACCAGGCTGGAGTGCAATGGCATGATCCTGGCTCACGGCAACCTCTGCCTCCTCAAGTCATCCTCCCACTTCCCAGCCTTTTGGGTAGCTGGGACTACAGGCACGAGTCACCACACCCAGCTAATCTTTGTATTTTTTGTAGAGATGGGGTTTCACCATGTTGCTCAGGCTGGTCTCGAACTCCTGAGCTCAAGTGGTTCCCCATGCCTTGGCCTCCCAAAGTGCTGGGATTATAGGCATGAGCCACTGCATCCAGCCAAATTGTATACTTTAAAAGGTAAATGTGGCTGGACACAGTGGCTCATGCCCATAATTTCAGCACTTTGGGAGGCCGAGGTAGGCGGATCACCTGAGGTCAGGAGTTTGAGACCAGCCTGGCCAACATGCTGAAACCCCATCTCTACTAAAAATACGAAATTAGCTAATGTGGTGGCACAAGCCTGTAGTCCCAGCTACTCAGGAGGCTGAGGCAGGAGAATCACTCCACTCCAGGAGGCGGAGGTTACAGTGAGCTGAGATCATGCCACTGCTCTCCAACCTGGGTAACAAGAGTGAGACTCTGCCTCAAAAAAAAAAGTGGGGGGGTGAATGTTAAGTGAATTACATCTCAATTTTTATTTTATTTATTTTTTTGAGACAGTATCTCACTCTGTCACACAGGCTGGAGTGCAGTGGTGTAATTATAGCTCACTGTAGCTTTGAACTCCTGGATTCAAGTGATCCTCTTGCCTCAGCCTCTTGAGTAGCTGGGACTACAAGCACATACCACCAAGCCCAGCTAACCAGTTTCTTTTGTTTCTTTTTTTCCTGTACAGACAGGGTCTTGCTATATCGCCCAGACTGGTTTAAACTCCTTGGCTCAAGTAGCTGGGATGTGCCACCACACCCAACTAATTTTTTGTATTTTTAGTAGAGGCAGGGTTTCACCATGTTGGCCAGGCTGGTCTTGAACTTCGGACCTTGTGATCCACCCGCCTCGGCCTCCCAAAGTGCTGGGATTATAGGCGTGAGCCACCGCGCCTGGCCTCAATACCTTAACATCTTTAATACACATTCTTATTTAGTCATATTTGTGAAAACATCACTACCAATCAGAGAATATGTATAAAAAGGAAATAGTTGTTCTATTACATGGAGAGACTATGGATACTGTTCTCTTTTTCAATATGAACTTCAACATTTTATCATTATTTTTACAATTTAAGAAAAAGAAACTGATATTAGAACATGTACCCTTAATTGATCCAGTCTCACCAGACTATGGGAAGAGATGAAGTCACAATCAAGTTATTAGCGGCCTGGTGACTCCTCCTGTATTCTTGTATTTGTATTTGTTTTTCTAAAAAATCATTTTAAAAGGCTGGGTGTAGTGGCTTACTCCTATAATCTCAGCACTTTGAGGGGGCTGAGGTGGGAGAATCGCTTGAACTAAAGAGGCGAAGGTTGTAGTGAGCAGAGACCATGACACTGCACTGCAGCCTGGGCAACAGAACAAGACTCCGTCTAAAAAAACAAAAAGATGTTAAGATATCTATCTTAATCAAGATACAAATTTAGGAATTCCTACCTGGGAGACCTTCACTATAAAAAATTAAAATTTCGACTGAGTGTGGTGGCTCATGTCTGTAACCCCGGCACTTTCGGAGGCCAAGACGGGAAGATCACTTGAGCTCAGGAATTTAAGCCAACCCCGGGCAATAGTGATACCTCATCTCTACAAAAAAATGTAAAAGTGGCTAGGCATGGTGGCGCACTTGTAGTCCCAGCTACTCTGGAGGCTGAGCCAAGAGAATCACTTGAGCCCAGGATATTGAGCTACAGTGAGCCATGATCTTGCCACTGCACTCCAGCCTGTGTGACAGAGTGCCACCCTGTTTCAAGAAAAGAAAAAAAGAAAGAAAATTCTAAGACATGTGTAGAGCAAATATGTAACAAATTATTGACAGAATACTTAAGTTTTTCTAGGTGAGAAAATTTCATTATGTAATTGCACAATCTCCCCTGCTAGTTCTTAGAATCTCCAAATCTAAAATTCTAGGTTCTAGATGAGATCTCTGCTCTAGCTTCCTCACTGAAGATGCCTCAGAATGTTCCCCCTAGCGGTGCTCTCCCTGAACATGCTGTCCCACCGTGGGTTTGGGGACATTAGCTATGAAACAAATCAGCAGCAAACGCTAAAAAAAAAAAACAAACCCCACCTCACTCCCAAACTTCAAGTACGGAGGAGGCAGAAGGAGCAATACGGCTTACTGGGAGGAACATAAAGTAGTGATTGAAACTATCCAGGTGCTGGGGTTGGATTGACCTGCTTCTGATTTCACCTGATTCACATTGATCAGCTGTGTGATACTGACCAAATCACTTGGTCTCTCTGAGCCTCGGTTTCTTCATAGATGAAATGGGAATGGTAATAGAACTTCATTCATAGAGTTTTGGTAAGAATCGTATTAGCCAATGTGTAACATGCTTAGTTCAATAAACAAAGGATGTTAATTATGATCAAAAATGCTTTTTAAAAGCCACCTGCAAACCACCCACCCCATACCCACTTTCTCTATTTAGCTACACGATGAACCCGTAAGGCACTGCCATTTTCAGGCGACATTCTATGCGGTCTTCTATGGATGTGGCCAAGAAACAACCCAAGTACTCAATAAACAATAGGTCCCAGAAAACACTTCCTGAATCAAATGAGCTGCAAATTCCTCTGCTCAAAGTCTCCCCTCTCCCTTTTCCTGATAATAAATGATTTTCTGAAGTATTAATTAACATATATATGTGTATAACCATCAGAAAGTTAAAAGAAAAGTTCAAAAAAGCACTCAAATTCCCACCACCCAAAGGGCAATGTAACATTTTGGCATGTTTTTCATTTATTTTTACATTGTTGAGCTAATATTAGGCTTTATATAATTTGACATTCTACATTTTTTGCTTAGCACATTATAAGTATTTTCTGTTTTATAAATGACTTCAATGTATAGCTAATATTCTATTATATGGGAATATTTACATTAACCATTTTCCTATTGTTCGTTTTTAGAATGTTTCCAATTTTTATTACAAATTACCTTTTCTTTTCTTTTCTTTTTGTTTTGAGATAGAGTCTTGCTCCGAAGCTGGAGTGCAGTGGCACGATCCCGGCTCACTGCAACCTCCACCTCCCAGGTTCAAGCAATTCTCTTACCTTGGCCTCTTAAGTAGCTGGGACTGCAGGCACAGGCTACCACGCCTGGCTAACTTGTGTATTTTAGTAGAGATGGGGTTTCACCTTGTTGACCAGGATGGTCTTGAGCTCCTGACCTCAGGTGATCTGCCTGCCTCTGCCTCCTAAAGTGCTGGGATTACAGGCGTGAGCCACCATGCTTGGCCACAAATTACATTTTCTGAGTTTCAGAAACATATATATACAAACACACATATATATGTTACATTTGTATTATATATGTTTACATATGAGCTCATGAAAGAATAGAAACGTGTGTGGGTAGGGATGACTTTTGCCTTTGGGGGTGAGATTGTTGGTGAGATGGGGCAAGGACTTGTACTTTTATGTTACCAATTCCTTTTTTAAAAAATTATTATTTTTTATTGATAATGAGAAATCATAATCATATAGATTTAGGGGATACAATGTGATGTTTTGATATATGTTATAATGTGGGATAATTAAATCAACATATTCCTTTATTGTTTAAATCCTTTATAGCAATCAAGAAATACTTTTACATTACATGTTTAATGAAAGGAAGTAAGGAGGAGATGAACAAAAGGAGAAAGAGTGGGAAAGAGAGAGGAAGGGCAGGAAAAAGGGAGGAGGGAAAGAAAGGAAGAAGAGAAAGAAGGAGGGAAGAAAAGAAGACACTTGCACCAATCCCATTTGTAAAGAGCCTGGGAGATCAAGAGCCAGGGAAGCAGCTAAGCGATAGGTCTCTTTATATCTTTTATAGAACAAGGAAAAGCATAGATTTATAAATAAGAAAGTAGGTGGGTCTGTAATTAAATTTCTCTGAGCCAAAAAGGAAATAGCACACTGCAAACAATTGTAACTCGACTTACTGATTGATTTTGGATTCTGTGGTGTTTCCAGCTTTGTCTCTCAATTTGATTGTAATGTCCCCTCTTCTGATGTTCCTGTTCCATGTTATAATATCCACAAAGTAATGATACACTGCAAAACGAGAGAACACGGTAAGAGAGAGATATTCCCAACTGATCCCCTGAAGGGTTTCTAAAAGCTGAACCTCCCTAATAACTGAGTCTCTTTCCCTCTTTCTCTCTAGTTTCTCTGCAAAGATCCAGGGCAGAAGTTTCTGATATTCCGTTCTCTTCTCTTTGGTAAAGATGGCATGAGTCACAGCAGTTCACCATGATCAGGCAATCACCATTGAACCTGTGATTCCAGGTATTGTGAAGTCTCAGGGCCTATGGCGGAATATGGTTCACCTCAATTCCTGCCCATTTTAGACTGAACCCACTAAGGGGCCATTTGGAGACCCTCCATGGCTGAGACGGTTTTCCACAGTTCAGGCCATGTCCACCAGCCTGTCCGGCCTCCCTCATCCTTTTCCCAGTCATGCCCAACCACCTGCACTTCCTGCATGGTGAAGGCTCCTGGGCCTTCACCCACCAGACGCTCTTACTTTGTCAGTTCTGTGAACCTAGCTTTCAGGTTTCAGCTTAATGTCATTCCTCCAAGAGGCCTTCCCTAACCCCCAGACTCAATCAGGTCTCCTTTCTTGAAGTTCCTGCCATACTCTGGACACCCACCCCCATTATTACTCAGCATACTTTCTGTATTTACAAAATGCTAGAAAGGACAATAAAAATAAAGTGGCATTCCCTAACCAGCAGACTCAGAGGAAAAAAAAAGTGGTAAATATGTGGGTGCGTCTATACAAATATTGCCCGAATGATGTCTTGTGGGGTTTTAAAAAAAAGAGGCTGGGTGCAGTGGCTCACACTTGTAATCCCAGCACTTTGGGAGGCCAAGGCGGGCGGATGACGAGGTCAGGAGTTTGAGACTGGCCTGGCCAACACAGTGAAACCCTGTCTCTACTAAAAATACAAAAATTAGCTGGGCGTGGTGGTGGGAGCCTGTAATCCCAGCTACTCGGGAGGCTGAGGCAGCAGAATTGCTTGAACCTGGGAGGTGGAGGTTGCAGTGAGCCAAGATCGCCCCACTGAACTCCAGCCTAGGCAACAGAGCTAGACCCCGTCTCAGGGGGAAAAAAGCCCCATAAAATTAAGACATGCTGCAACAGGAACTAATCAGGGAGATTATAATCCCACAAATGAATAGATGTCAGTCCTGGTCCTGGAGTTGCCATTTATGGCCCAAATTGCTTAGGGCCTTGTCCCATACAGACCAGGCAGGCCAAATCCTGAGCTGCCACACAAGGGTCCAAAGAAAGAGGGAAACTCAGTGATCTGCAGGCCTTTTTTTTTTTTTTAAGTAAGAGTCTTTCTGTGTTGCCCAGGCTGGAGTAATAGTGATATGATCTCTGTTCACTGCAACTCTGTCCACCTCCTGGGTTCAAGTGATTCTCTGGCCTCAGCCTCCTGAGTAGCTGGGATTATAAGCAAGCACTATCACACCCAGCTAATTTTTTTATTTCTTTTTCTTTTTTTTTTTTTTGTATTTTTAGTAGAGATGGGTTGTCACCATGTTGGCCAGGATGGTCTCCAGCTCCTGGCCTCAAGTGATCTGCCCGTCTTGCCCTCCCAAAGTGCTGGGATTACAGGCGTGAGCCGCCATGACTGGCAGGCAGATTCTTTTAAAACAGTTGTTCACACCTGGCATGGAGGCTCATGCCTATAATCCCAGCACTTGAACCCAAGAGTTCAAGACCAGCCTAGGCAACATAGTGAGACTCTGTCTCTAAAAGAAATAAAAAAAACCAGTTAGCTGGGCATGGTGGCCCATGCCTAAAATCCCAGCTACTTAGGAGGCTGAGGCAGGAGGATTGCTTGAGTCCAGGAGGTTGAGGCTGCAGTGTGCCATTATTGTGCCACTGTACTTTAGCCTGGGTGACAGAACAAGACCCTGTCTCAAAAAAAAAAAAAAAATTAATATAGGCCAGGTGTTCATGCCTGTAATCCCAGCACTTTGGGAGGCCGAGGTGGGCAGATCACCTGAGGTCATAAGTTTGAGACCAGCTGGCCAACATGGCAAAACCCCGTCTCTACTAAAAATACAAAAATTAGCCAGGCATGGTGGCACACCTGTAGTCTCAGGTAGTTGGGATGCTAAGGCAGGAGGATCGCTTGAACCTGGGCAGAGGTTGCAGTGAGCTGAGATTGCACCACTACACTTCAGCTTGGGCGCAGAGTGAAACTCTGTCTCAGAAAAATAATAATAATAAAATAGTTGTTCCCAAGGAAAGTGAAAATGGGCACAAGACTATAGGAAAAATATATCTTCCCAGGGAAACTCTAGCTGCTTCCCAAGGCATCTAATCATCGGCTGCCCCATTTAGTTCCCATCTGGAATACTCAACCTCCTGATGCCTTTAGGTCATTATGTTTGCTTTAGAGCTGGAACTGACCTGTAGCTATGGCTGACACCTGATTTTTTCCTAGTCTCAGTTTCATGTCTCTTAGGAAATCAAGCAATTTTCTGGAAGATCTTAGTGATTAGAATGATCATCCAGTGAAACTGAACAACTCTGATTTGTTGAGATTTTGTTAGATTCATATTTTCAAATTGTATTAAATTAAACCTAATATTCCAGAAGACAGGCATTATTACCCCCATTTTACCAGTCAGGGCACTGATGAGAAGTCAAATGACTTGACCAACGTCCCATGACCATTAGGTGGTAGACTCAGGATTCGACCTAGGCCCTTCCAGCTCCAAAGCTGATGCTCCATCATGGCTCTCATTTGCCAGGAAGTAGCTAGGAAGCTGAGACTTAGCCATCCCCAAAATAAGAGTTAGGCAACAGCAAACTACCACATTCACCACTCACTGCAGAATGGCTTCTCCTCAGCTGTGTCAAAGAACGCCTTTGTCATTGGAGGATCTTTCTCCCTTAAATAGTCTTTCCAATTATCAGCATAATAGCCTATAAGACAAGTTGGAAAAAAATGGAGGATTAACATGTATTATATAAGCCATAAAAGCAACTGAGGTAGCAAGAACAGTGGGTTTGACTGCATCCACCACCTCTGAGAGAACCTCCCTCCCTTCTCCATCCCCTGTGGTGAGGGCTCTTGGGGCTACCCATCTTTCTAGCCTAAGAGCCGGAGGGCAGGCAACAGGACCCTCCAGTGGTTTTACCCACTTTACTGGTTCTCAGTAGCAGGGTGGGGGCTTAGGAGGTGGCACACCCTGGTATGGGCTAAAAATAACACTGACATTTGTCAGTAATACATTCATTTTTCTAGATTGAAACAGATTCAAGTTCATACCTAAAATAGCATCACTGTTACAAAGCAATATGCTTCTTTTTTTTTTTTGAAACGGAGTCTTGCTCTGTTACCAGACTAGAAGACTAGAGTGCAGTGGCACAATCTCGGCTCACTGCAACCTCTGATTCCTGGGTTCAAGTGATTCTCCTACCTCACTGTAATCTCCCGAGTAGCTGGGATTACAGGCACGCTCCATCACACCCAGCTAATTTTTGTATTTTTAGTAGAGATGGGGTTTCAGCATGTTGGCCAGGATGGTCTCGATCTCCTGCCCTCATGACCTGCCTGCCTCAGCCTCCCAAAGTGCTGGGATTACAGGCATGAGCCACCGTGCAATATGCTTGAAGAACTCCAATGGGGCCCCTAAATTGCATAGACCTGGGCTTGCCCCATGACTGACTGTGTCACTAAGCGGGTAAGTGTCCTTCTTTGTGTGATGTCCAGAGGGGCCTCTTTCTCTCCTCTGTCCCTAGCCCTAGAGAATGGCCTTCACATTCTGCCTTAATCGATCCAGGGTGGGACCCCAGCATCAGTATTGTGTTAAACTCTTTAGGTAATTCTAATGTACAATCAAGGTTAAGAACACTTGTCTATACCATGCCCTGCTGTTAACTTGGATTTTTCCTTTTGGAAAAAATTAGAAAATCCTCGTGGCCATCCTGTTTCAAAGTCCTAACTACCTGGAACATTTGTACTAATCCCTAGCAAATATCCAAGCAGCCTCCCCAGTTTCTGTCACCCCACTCCACCTGCTGTGCGTGCACACAAGAGCCAGGGTGTGGAGTGAGGGCATTTACAGACAGGGCTTGTGGGAAGGGGTCACTCTGCAAGGTTCACTTGGCAGGCGGGTCTCTGGGTTCACCGTGGACCCTCTCCCAGCAGAGAGGTTGTATGCACAGAGAGGGTATTCCTGTCCCCACTGGAGGAGGCCATGTAGACTGACTGTACCCTGGGTAAGCTTGGAAAATCTTCTGGAACCTTTTTTTCCATGCTAGAATAGTATCCAGGGAGGCTGTATCGCCTTCCGGATGGAATGCTCTACAATTGCTTTTCTTTTATTTTTATTTTGTTTTGTTTTTAAGGCGGAATTTCGCTCTTCTCGCCCAGGCTGGAGTACAATAGTGCAGTCTCGGCTCACTGCATCCTCCGCCTCTCGGGTTCAAACGATTCTCCTGCCTCAGCCTCCCACGTAGGTGGGATTATAGGCACCCACCACCATGCTCAGCTAATTGTTCTGTAATTTTAGTGGAGACGGGGTTTCACCATGTTGGCCAGGCTGATCTCGAACTCCTGGAATCTTCTGGAACCTCAGGTGATCCATCTGCCTCAGCCTCCCAAAATGCTGGGATTACAGGTGTGAGCCACCATGCTGGCCTATAGTTGCTTTTGTAACACTGTTTATTAGTAGGAGATTAGAGTAGTTCAAAGAACAAATTGGCTAGAAAAAGCTGACTAGAAAAAAAAAGTCATTTAAAAAATTTTTTCTTTTTAAGAAAAAAAATTTTTTTTAATTTAACCTTTTATTTATTTATTTTTGGAGACAGGTTATTGCTCTGTCACTCAAGCTGGAGTGCAGTGGCATGATCTCAGCTCACTGCAGCCTCAACCTCCTGGGCTCAAGTGATCCTCCCACCTAAGCCTCCCTCTCGAGTAGCTAGGACTACAGGTACACACCATGACATCCAGCTACTTTTTGTTTTTTTTTTGAGACAGAGTTTCGCTCTTGTTACCCAGGCTGGAGTGCAATGGCGCGATCTTGGCTCACTGCAACTTCCGCCTCCTGGGTTCAGGCAAGTCTCCTGCCTCAGCTTCCTGAGTAGCTGGGATTACAGGCACGCGCCACCATGCCCAGCTAATTTTTTGTATTTTTAGTAGAGACGGGGTTTCACCATGTTGACCAAGATGGTCTCGATCTCTCGACCTCGTGATCCACCCGCCTCGGCCTCCCAAAGTGCTGGGATTACAGGCTTGAGCCACCGCGCCCGGCCCACTTTTTGTATTTTTATAGAGACAGGGTTTCACCATTTTACACAGGCTGGTCACAAACTCTTGACCTCAAATGATCCACCTGCCTCAGCCTCCCAAAGTGCTAGGATGATAGGCATGAGCCACTGTGCCCAGCAGAAAAACAAGTTTTTAATACAATTGTGGGGCCAGTTTTTACATGATAAAGTGGCTCTGGGATTCATACCAAAAATTAGTTCTTTGTTAATCAGAGAGGAAACTTCTTGTTGGACTTACCCAGGAGGGGACAGGACTGGTTTTGTGAGGTAGTGCAGCCGACACACTTGCCATTCCTATAATCCTGGTAGGAGTCACAGGGGTATGCAGTGATGGTGCAGCTCTCTCTCAGGGAAGACAGGTACAGGTACACAGACCTCTGGTGGTCACATTTAAAATACTGAAATCCTTGGTTGCAAAAGAAGTAATGAAAGAGTAGAGCAGTTGAAGCATTGAATAATACTATACACATATTTTATGCACACACACCATTTCTCATCTGGCCCTGCGTGGTTTCAGTGTATTTGATTTCATTTAATCTTTATAAAATCCCATGGATAAGGATTCATGCTGGCAAGTGGGAGGAGAAAAGATTAAATCAAATTAAGGTTGTGGCAAGAATTAGGGCAAATATGCTTTGGTAAAAGACCTAGGACTGAGCGAGGTGACTCACGCCTGTAATACCAGCACTTTGGAGGGCCAAGGCAGGTGGATCACCTGAGGTCAGGAGTTCGAGATCAGCCTGGCCAACATAGGGAAACCCTGTCTTTACTAAAAATACAAAAATTAGCTGGGTGTAGTGGTGGGTACCTGTAATCCCAGCTACCTGGCAGGCTGAGGCAGGGAGAACTGCTTGAACCCAGGAGGCAGAGGTTGCGGTAAGCTGAGACTCCATATATATATATTAAAAAAGACCTTGATTGCTCATGTAGCAATCAAGGTATCTTTTGCTGCCATCCAGTGCTTGATCCATAGACTGCCTGCATCATAATCATGCTTGTTAAAATACGAAGTTCAGGTCAACCCTCAAATAAATATTTGATTCAGAGGAGGTGCAAGCATCAGTATTTTTTTTTTTTTTTTTGAGACGGAGTTTCACTCTTGTTACCCAGGCTAGAGTGCAATGGCATGATCTCGGCTCACCGCAACCTCCGCCTCCTGGGTTCAGGCAGTTCTCCTGCCTCAGCCTCCTGAGTAGCTGGGATTACAGGCACGCGCCACCGTGCCCAGCTAATTTTTTGTATTTTTAGTGGGTTTTCACTAAAACGGGGTTTCACCATGTTGACCAGGATGGTCTCGATCTCTTGACCTCGTGATCCACCCGCCTTGGCCTCCCAAAGTGCTGGAATTACAGGTGTAAGCACCGCACCTAGCCCCAGTATATATTTTTTTAAGACACAGTTTCACTTTTGTTGCCCAGGCTGGAGTGCAATGGCGAGATCTCAGCTCACCACAACGTCTGCCTCCCGGGTTCAAGCAATTCTCCTAACTCAGCCTCCCAAGTAGCTGTGATTACAGGCATGTTCCACCACGCCTGGCTAATTCTGTATTTTTAGTAAGAGAACAGGGTTTCTCCATGTTGGTCAGACTGGTCTGAAACTCCCAACCTCAGGTGATCCACCCACCTCAGCCTCCCAAAGTGCTAGGATTACAGGCCTGAGCCACCGTGCCCGGCCTGGCATCAGCATTTTAACAGCGTCCCCTGTCTTCCATGTGGCCCTGAAGCATGTAAGTTTGAAAGCCCCTGGTTTAATATTGCAGGTCTACTTCAGAAGACGAAGTTGCTGTGTCTACTCATCAAGCAGACACCACCCTGGGGTAAGGGTGTTTGGGTCCAAGGCCAGCCTTCCCTGGGTCATGGAGAATCAGAAGGAATTACCAAAATCGTTGTCATGAAAGCAAATTGCTAATCACTAATTCCTCTTCATTCTGCCTTTTTATATGATATATTTACTTAGTGAAAGGTTGAAAAACGCGAACAACTAGCTTCAGTCACACAGCCCTCTCGCTCCCCTGCCACATTTATTATGGGAATTTTCAAACAGGCACAAAAATTGAGAGGTTACAAAGAACCTTCATGCTCATGTCATCTCAGCTCCAGTAATTCAGTAATTACCAAAATTCTCCCGTTCTCATTTCTGTTATTTTACAGCATTGCAGCGTTTAAAAACCAATCTTTTGGACCGGGCACGGTGGCTCACGCCTGTAATCCCAGCACTTTGGGAGGCTGAGGCCGGTGGATCACCTGAGGTCAGGAGTTCAAGACCAGACTGGTCAATGTGGCGAAACCTTGTCTCTACTAAATATACAAAAATTAGCCAGGTGTGGTGGCAGGTGCCTGTAATCGCAGCTACTCAGGAGGCTGAGGTAGGAGAATCACCTGAACCCAGAAGGGGGAGGTTACAGTGAGTGAGATCGTGCCATTGTGCTCCAGCCTGGGCGACAGTGAAACTCCATCTCAAAAAAGAAAAAACAAACAACTTTCACTGTGAAATACTACCATTAGATCTAATCAAGTCTAGCTGCTTTTTTTTTTTTTTTTTTTTGAAATAGAGTTTCACCGTTACCCAAGCTGGAGTGCAGTATCATAATCCCAGATTGCTGCAACCTCCACCTCCAGGTTCAAGCAATTCTCCTGCCTCAGCCTTCCGAGTAGCTGGGACTACAGGCATGCGCCACCATTTCTGGCTAATTTTTGTATTTTTAGTAGAGACAGGGTTTCACCATAATAGCCAGGCTGGTCTTGAACTCCTGGTTTTGGGTGATCTGCCCACCTCGGCCTCCCAAAGTGCTGGGATTTCAGATAGGAGCCACTGAGCTTCTGCCTTGAATAGAATAACTTTGACTCTGCTTTTCCCAATGTAAGTACTTTACCTATTTTGTTCACTATAATGGTTGAACCATTACACTGTTCTGAGCTGTTACACTACACTGAACTGTTCTGCTATCACTTCAGATCCTGAAACAGTGCCAGACACATGGCAAATTAATAGGTATTTGTTGGATGAATGAATAAATGCAAGCTCTAGCAGGTTCTGCTGTTTGCTGAAACCTCTCTGCTTTATTTCTCCTCAAGGCTTTAACTAGAAGTCTGGTTCTTACGAGCTGCCTCAGTCTGGTACCGCTCAGTGCCAGTAATCCCAACTGCCAAAAGGTCAAGAGCAAGAGTCATTTGGATTCCTGCCACATTTCTCATTCATGTTAAAAGCAATGGAACCTGGCACTCCACAGAAACCAGGCAGGCAATCAAGAGAGTCATGGGGAGCAACTGCCAGATGTTGAGGGTCACTGGAAAATGCAACTGCTCAGCTGTTTCAAAATGTCGTTTCTGGACTAGTGCTGGTTTATGGCAATGTGTTCACGAGTCTAGCAGTGTGGGAACCACACAGATGAGAAGTGAGTATTCCATTAAGCTAACTGCAATTAATGTAAAGTGCTGCATGGTCTGGGCTGATGTCCTTTTTTTTGTGGGTGTATGTGTTAAAATGCCCTTTATTTGCCAGGCACAGTGGCTCATGCCTGTAATCCCAGCACTTTGGGAGGTCAAGGCAGGCGGATTACCTGAGGTCAGGAGTTCAAGACCAGCCTGGTCAAAATGGTGAAACCTTGTCTGTACAAAATATACAAAAATTAGCTGGGCGTGGTGGCATGTGCCTGTAATCCCAGCTACTTGGGAGGCTGAGGCAGGAGAATTGCTTGAACCTGGGAGTCGGAGGTTACACTGAGCTGAGATTGCGCCATTGCACTCCAGCCTGGGCAACAGAACAAGATTCCGTCTCAAAAAAAAAAAAAAAAAATGCCCTTTATTTTATGAAATAATGGTGATGACAGATATATTTTTGTGGTTTAGGATTTTTTTCCTAACTCAGCAAATTAAGTATCCCAAATTTGTTTTTGAATATTTTAAAACCAGAAATGTATACGTTTTATTTATAACCGCTGAGCCAGGCATGGTTGGTTGTGCTGGGCCCCTGTTGACTTCAGTAGGGATGGCAGCAGTTCAAGAGGTTAATGAACGGACCTAGAGCCAGTGAACAAGGCCTACAGTTTATTGGAGGAATTTACATACGGGAACAGTCCAGTGTCAACAGGCCGGACAGGAGAACTGCAACCACGTATAAAAAGCTTGCAGTTTATACGGCACCTTCACCCCACCCAGTAACCTCCACGTGGCAACCCTCACTCTGAAGTGTTGCTATCAGCTGTGTCTGCCATCAGGTTCATTCTCAGGGTATGCTGATGTTATTGCTGTCAGGTGTAGCACACACCTGCAATCCCAGCACTTTGGGGGGGCCAAGGAAGAGGCAGCTGGTGAACTTGAAGTCATCTTTAGCAAAGAGACGTGGGTTGAAACTCGAGGTTAGCATGATGGGCAGTGAGGAGATGGAAGCAGAAGTAAAGACTGTCACTGGATGGGTCTGTCAGTGAAAAGGAGAAAAATTCTATAATCATCAAAAATTCCCTAGAAGTTTTCATCGGATGGCAAATATGTTGAAGGCAGAGAAGGGAGCCATTGAAGAAGGAACAGGTAAAGCTATCAGGAAAGAAGGCATCGGAGGGTTATTGGCAGAGGAAGATCCCCAAGGAGGGCAAGCAGAGGAGACAGCTTTGAGAAAGGCTGGGGAATGCGCTACCCTGGGTCCAGAGGGAACATGAATGTAGTCTTTATATTCTTGTGAACTAAGATCATAAAACAGCTCTCTTAGGTGGGACCTTGATCTATGTACAAAAATCCAATCTAGCTCACCTCTAAGAGCTGAGAATTTGAGGTGGGAAATATTTGGAGCAGAAGTATAAGGAATGACTACGGGGAGTCAGCAAGAGATGAATGAGAGCGTTCACTGGCCCCATGATGGAGGGCCAGGGAGACATCAGAAAGCTTGCCTGGATCTTGTGCTCCATCAACAAGGCTTTATAACTTTGCCAGCAATGTTCCCAAGCAAAAGTGGAACTGACTTGGCCAAGACCTGGGGGATGCACTGGGCATTCATGATAGCAGTCAAGTGGCAGGGGCTTTGTTTCTGCTACAAGGGTGAAGTAAGAAGGGCTGAATGATAGCACCAGTGTCACTAGAAGTCATGGATTGGCCAGAAAAGGTGAGAGGCAAGCCTCAAGGTATTTCTTAGCAGGAGCCATGTGGTGTGACGGTGAGACAGGAGGCTGATGAGGCATGGGGATGGGTATTGGAAGAGCTGGAGATGATGGAAGAACTGCAGCACAGAGGTTTTCAGAAGATTGAAGGGTCAGAGTCTGATGTCACTCAAAAGAAGGAGCTGGGTCCAAATGATGAGTGATCAATGGAGAATCTGAAGAGGAAACAGAAAACCTCACGCAAAGAGAAGCTGTGACCGTAAGCCAGTGAAGGTGCTGGGTGCTGAGATCAAACTACTTCCTCCTCCTCCAGAGTCCACTGGTGCCCAGAGAAGAAATTAATGAAGACCAAAGAGAAACTGGGCAAGGAGGGAGAAGCATGAAGCTGGCATGGGGCCCAGCTGGGGACTGGCGTCAAACCTGATGGGTCAACATTTAATTATTGTTCCTGGAACTTCCTTCTGCAGAAAGAATGAAGTTAATAACAACACTGGGGATATGTCCTTTATAGCAAAGCACATTATCTTTGGCTGCTGTGGATGTAGTTACACTATCAAACAGGATAGGATTTGAACTTGGCTACAGTACAGTATGGTTGGCCTACTGAGGCCATTTCAGCCCATCACTTTCAAATGCTGTGGTCACTCCAGGGGGCCTATCTAGCTACCATTTTGTAACAAGATCATCTTTTTTCTAGAATTATTTCCATGGTAATTTTACTTTCTCTAGCAATGGTGAAATACAGATTTAGAGCATTTAGATTGGTTTTTGTATCTGTCAGTCACTTCAGTTTATGGTGCCCTCTGTAACTCCCCATTTTTGTTTTGTGAGATTTTTCCTCATTGTAAAAGTAGTATATAATTATTTGAAAAACACAAAATAATAGGAAATCGTGATGCAAAAACACCTAAAAGTCCAATATCAACAGATTGCCAGTAATAATTATTTGGAGCATCTACTTTTAGTCTTTTTTTCTGTATTTACATCTGTACAAATACACATGTAAAAAATAAATTGGCCTCATATTGTATAGTTTTGTCCTTTTCACTTAACACATTGCTTTTTTGTTTTTTTTTTTTTAAAGATGGGGTTTCACCATGTTGGTCAGGCTGGTCTTGAACTCCTGACCTGAGGTGATCCACCCGCCTTGGCCTCCAAAGTGCTTGGATTACAGGTGTGAGCCACCATGCCCGGACTCACTTATCACATTTTTTTATTTTTTGAGATGGAGTTTCACTCGTTACCCAGGCTGGAGTGCAATGGTGCAATCTTGGCTCGCCGCAACCTCCGCCTCCTGGATTCAGGCAATTCTCCTTCCTCAGCCTCTTGAGTAGCTGGGATTACAGACATGCACCACCGTGCCCAGCTAATTTTTTGTATTTTTAGAGACAGGGTTTCACCATGTTGACCAGGATGGTCTCGATCTCTTGACCTCGTGATCCACCCACCTTGGCCTCCCAAAGTGCTGGGATTGCAGGCTTGAGCCACTGCGCCCGGCCTAAGAATTATGTTTTTTGTGTGCATACCATAATTTAATATTTTTTGTAAGCTTTTAAATTATTTCTAAAGCTTTAATTATAAATAATATTATATTGAACATCTTTGCATTCTAATTCCTGTCTCCATTTTCCATTATTTCTCTATGAGTGATTTCCAGGTGTAGAATTTCTAGGTCAAAGACATACCTTTTCAAGAGAGAGAAATAATTCATAATACCTTTCAATCATGTGGCTATAGTTTTAAAAGTAGTGGCTGGGCATGATAGCTCAGGCCTGTAATCTCAGCACTTTGGGAGGCTGAGGAGGGTGGATCATAAGGACAGGAGTTCAAGACCAGCCTGGCCAAGATGGTGAAACACAGTCTCTACTAAATATTAAATATTTAAAAAATTAGCTGGGCATGGTGGCAGGCACCTGCAATTCCAGCTACTCGGGAGGCTGAGGCAGAGAATTGCTTGAACCCAGGAAGCAGAGGTTGCAGTGAGCCAAGATGGAGCCACTGCACTACAGCCTGGGTGACAGAGCAAAATTCAATCTTTAAAAAAAAAAAAATCCCTGGTTGTCTAGTGGCTAGGAAAAAAAAAAAAAGAGTATATTCGAGTTATAATTTTTAATTTATATTTATACTAGTATCTTCTCAGGAAGTTTGTTTTCTATTAAAAATTACTACATGGTCAGGTGCGGTGGCACAAACCTGTAATCCAGGACTTTGGGAGGCTGAGGTGGGCAGATCACAAGGTCAAGAGGTCGAGACCATCCTGGCCAATGTGGTGAAACCTCATCTCTACTAAAAATATAAAATTAGCTAGGCGTGGTGGCAGCCTCCTGTAGTCCCAGCTACTTGGAAGCTGAGACAGGAGAATGGCTTGAACCCAGGAGGTAGAGATTGCAGTGAGCTGAGATAGCACCACTGCACTCCAGCCTGGCAACAGAGCAAGAATCTGTCTTGAAAAAAAAAAAAATACTACATGTAGAATAATGTCAGATTTTTTAAATATGCCTTTTTTTTTCTTTTTTGAGAGGGTCTCACTCTGTTGGCTCGGGTAGAGTACAGTGGCATGATCATGGCTCACTGCAGCCTCTACTTCCTAGGCTCAAGCAATCCTCCCACCTCAGCCTCCTGAGTAGCTGGGATCACAGGTGTGCTGCCACACCCAGCTAATTTTGTTTTTATTTTTTGTAGAGATAGAGTCTCCCTTCTGTTGCCCAGGCTGGTCTTGAACTCGGGGGCTCAAACAATCCTCCCACCTTGGCCTCCCAAAGGGCTGAGATCACAGGTGTGCACCACTGTACCTAGACAAAATATGCCTTTTTACTTATTTTATTTTTTTTGAGATGGAGTTTCACTCTTGTTGCCCAGGCTGGAGTGCTGTGGTGTGATCTGGGCTCACTGCAACCCCTGCCACCCAGGTTCAAGTGATTCTCCTGCCTCAGCCTCCTAAGTAGCTGGGATTACAGGCATGCGTCACCACGCCTGGCTACTTTTTTGTATTTAGTAGAGACAGGGTTTCACCATGTTAGCCAGGCTGGTCTCAAACTTCTGACCATGGGTGATCCACCAGCCTTGGCCTCCCAAGGTGCTGGGATAATAGGCATGAGCCACCATGCCCAGCCTCCAAAATATGCCTTTTTACCTTCTTTTTTTTTTGAGACGAAGTTTTTTGCTCTTGTTGCCCAGGCTGGGGTGCAATGGCACAATCTCAGCTCACTGCAACCTCCATCTGCTTCCTGGGTTCGAGTGATTCTCCTGCCTCAGCTTCCAGAGTAGCTGGGATTACAGGCATGAGACACCACGCCCAGCTAATTTTTGTATTTTTAGTAGAGACGTGTTGGCCAGGCTGGTCTCAAATTCCTGACCCTGTGATCTGCCCACCTCGGCCTCCCAAAGTGCTGGGATTACAAGTGTGAGCCACCACACCAGGCCCAAAATATGCCTTTTTATACCAATATTTGACAAAATATAAAGTATTTGCGCTTACCTCCCAATATTGTTTTTGGGCAGCCAGGCTGATCCAATCCTCCATTTGGGTAAAAGTCTATGTTTCCTAATGGTTCCTTATACCCCAGTGCTAAAAGAGAACACACTCTGCTTTTATATTGCTTTGAATTTTTCACATCTCATAGCTCATTTGCCTGCCAGATATAAGCAGAAATTATATTATTATTGTTGCTATATCATCGTTATACCTATGTAAGTGTTTTGCCCAAAGTCACCCCAGCTAGTTAGTTAGAAGGCAATGATTTCCAACTTGGTAACTGTGAAGATGGTAAGGAATTTGCTTCCAATATTTCTAAAGACCTAAGTGAGTCTGGTCACTCATTCACCACAAGGCTGATAAAATGATACATTTCTTCCTTATAGTTGGCTGGAACCCTTTAATTGCCTGTTGCTTCTGAGCCTCTATTTGCATTTGTGTAACTCTTTAATGAATAGGAGACAGGAAAAAAAATCGATTTTTATTTAGTAGGTAAAATCTTTAAATATTTGAAATCTAGGATGGTAAAAAGATTGGAACTACTTCTAGAAAATGAGGAGTTAAAAATGTATATATAGGTTGCAGGCAGTGGCTCATGCCTATTATCCCAGCACTTTGGGAGGCTGAGGAGGGAGAGTCGCTTGAGTCCAGGAGTTCAAGACCAGCCTGGGCAAAATGGCAAAACTCCGTCACTACAAAAAATACAAAAATTAGCCAGGCATTGTGGTGTGTGCCTGCAGTCCCAGCTACTGAGGAGGCTGAGGTGGGAGGAGCACTCGAGCTAGGAGAAGGAGGTTGCAGTGAACCAAGACAGCAACTGCACTCTGGCGTGGGTGACAGAGCCAGACCCTGTCTCAAAAGATAATAATAAATAAAAACTTTAAAAAGTATATATATAGATTTAATAGCTGTTTATTGCCTTTATTAAACCCCCAATCAGTAAAGTGCTTCATTTAATATAAATTAAATAATTTAATGTAGGTATACATATACATGCACATGTATATACACAATGCATCATGGTAATAATAGTTATTATATATTAAGAACTCATGTGTGTCTGGGCATGGTACTAGGTGTTTCACAGTGCAAAGTGGCCACTGGTAAATTCAGATGCAACAAGTTACGTGAAGATATGGGGCCAGGCATGGTGGCTAATGCCTGTAATCCTATCACTTTGGGAGGCTGGGGCGGAAGGATCCCTTGAGCTCAGGAGTTCGAGACCAGCCTGGGCAACATAGTGAGACCTCGTCTCTATCAATGAAAAAAAAAAGTGGGGACTTAAGGAACTAAGGTGACATCATTAGAAAGGGCAAAATCTGGGATTTAAATCTACCTTTGCCTGATGGCAGAACTATACCCTTTCCTTCAAAATTCACTTCTCCAAAATAAATTGCCCTGTTCCATCAAGCATTAACATGTACTTTGCAAACTTCGTTGTAAGAATGCCACTGTTTCACAAAGAGACAATTTCTTTCAAGGCAAATAAATTCGGAATACCACACCAGAATGCCCATGATAGATGGCAAAGGTTTTTTTAGGTGGTTGTATCACAAAGAGAATGCCTGATTAAATGTCCACTCTGCTGTCCCCAAGTTTCTACTCCAGTGCTTCTCCAAGACAGGTGGATATAGGTACCCATCCTTGAGTATCACCCCAACCCACTTGACACATATCCAATCCCAAACATGAAGACAACACAGTAAAAGACAGAAACGGGCTGGCTGCAGTGGCTCACGCCTGTAATCCCAGCACTTCGGGAGGCCGAAGTGGGAGGATCAATTGAGACTAGGAGTTGGGGACCAATCTGGACAACACAGCAAGACCCCATCTCTACAAAAAGAAGAAAAAATTAAAAATTAAAAAAATAAAGATGGCTGGGCACAGTGGCTCACGCCTGTAATCCTAGCACTTTGGGAGGCCGAGGCGGGTGGATCACCTGAGTTCAGGAGTTCGAGACCAGCTTGGACAACATGGTGAAACAGTCTCCAGTAAAAATACAAAAATTAGCTGGGCATGGTGGTGAGCGCCTGTAATCCCAGCTACTCGGGAGGCTGAGACAGGAGAATCACTTGAACCCAGAGGTTGCGGTGAGCCGAGATCGTGCCATTGCACTCCAGTCTAGGCGACGAAAGCTAAACTCCATCTCAAAAAATAAATAAATAAAAATAAAGACAGCAGTGGCCAAGAAGATCTGCAGAGAGGCAGAGAGTTGTAGGTGCATCAGAGTCACTCTGCGTGGAGAGATTTAACACCTGAATATATCTTTCAGCTCAAGAAAATAAAAAGAACCAAAAAGACCAAGAAGTCATGCATCAAACCCAGTCGCACATATGAAAACACCGATCTTCAGGTTGAGTGAATTAGCCTGTCCTTCATGGGGCATGATGATCACTTTAAAAATATGAAGAAGAGGCCATGGGGTAATCATCCGTGCTCTAGCACGTGGTCCTGGGTGCCTACATTAAACCAGCCTTCCTTCAATATTTCCGTGGATTTGGAACCCTGCCTGGAAAAAAAGTGGGACTCTAGAGGAACCTGATCTGCCCCAGGGGGACTCTGTAGGAATCTGGGGGTGGTCACTGGCCCACAAGGACAGGAGTGTTACCGTCAGTGTCGGAATGGATGACATCAACGAACTGCGCATCACTGGGATCTAATCTGTCCTGAGGAGGTTTCCCGTTGAATAAAGGGCCCGCAGGGTCGAGGCCTGGAAGGAAAACAGAGTCACTTGGCAGCCCCACACCATGAGTCACCTGCAGCCGGCCTTTGATCCCTCTGGATGAGGGTGGCTCCCAGGCTGCAGGGTACCCTCACGGGGATGAGCACTCACACTCCCACACCACTTGGCCAGGACTCTGCAGCTTGTTCCCACAGTGGAGACGGTTACCCTGGCTGAGCTCCTGAGAATGGCATCCAGACTCCATCACGGGCATGTCTCATGCAGAACTCCACAGCAGGAAATTCGTGCAGGTGTGTGAGGATCAAGGGGTGGGGATGAACAAGTGCTCCAGGAAAAAAGCACTGAGGGGCCCATTAAAGAGAAAAGAGCGGATGCTATATCCGCTGATCTTTATCCCCCTTTAGATGATTCGGACTTTTTGGATCTCACTCAGCCCTTCCTTTTTTGTTATTAATAAAACTCCTTTATAGCTTCCACTCTTATTCATATATGCTGGCCCATTTGATCCATATTGCAAACCCATGAGGGAGGCAAGGTATCTATATCATTATTTTCTAGATGAATGGACAGTGACTCAGGAAGATCAAGACCTTGATCAGAACACAGCCTCATACTGCAACCACCTCTATCTGTCGAGCTCTTGGTTTCACTGCCCTGAGCTTAGCCAGCTCAGCAGGAAAGGGCAAAATTCACTGGTCAGGCCAAGTATCAGGCTACGTATTAAAGAGGAAATTCAAGTGGGTGTCAATCCCTGCAGAATTCACCCACGCTGTAAATGCCTAAACTGGTTTCTTGCCCTTGGTCGATGTTATTTGGGTGTTCCTCCCCACCACGACGCAGCCGCTGGAAAAACAGGAGAGGAGCTCCTATGATCTTGTAACCACGAAATAAAGATTAAATGAGAAAAGAAGAAGAAAAAAGTCAGAGGCTCCAAAAGGTTTGGTTTACCAGATCGCTACCTGGAATGAAGAAGGTTTCAAGGCAAGTCTCCCTGAAAGTTTTGTCTCTGAATGTCATCTTATATCTCCTGTCCCCTGGTGCTACATATCAAATGCAAGAGATACCATCTTTGCCTTGATTTCCTAAGTTCTAGCCTTTTTCTTTTTTCTGGGGTTGGGGAGAGAGCCAGTTGTGGGAGCTCTTGCTATGTTTCTCAGGCTAGTCTCAAACTCCTGGACTCAAGCAGTCCTTGCCCCTCAGCTTCCCAAAGCTCTGGGATTACAAGTGTGAGCCACCACACTCAGCCTACCTGGCTCTAGCTTTAATCCCTCCATTTCAGCTGGTCGCAGTGGCTCGCATCTGTAATCCTAGTGCTTTGGGAGGCCAAGGCAGGAGGATTGCTTGAGACCAGGAGTTTGAGGCCAGCCTGGGCAACATATGGAGACCCTGTCTCTACAAAAAAATTTAAAAATTGCTTGGTGTGGTAGCTCACTCCTGTACTCTTCACTACTCCAGAGACTGAGACAGAAGGATCAATTGAACCCAGAAGTTCTAGGTTGCAGTTAGCCACGATTGTGCCATTGCCCTCCACCCCAGGCAACAGACCAAGCAACAGAGAGAGAGAGAGAGGCCGGGCATGGTGGCTCACGCCTATAATCCAAGCACTTCGGGAGGCCGAGGCAGGTGGATCATGAGGTCAAGAGATTGAGACCATCCTGGTCAACAAGGTGAAACCCCGTCTCTACTAAAAATACAAAAATTAGCTGGGCATGGTGGTTCACGCCTGTAGTCCCAGCTACTTGGGAGGCTGAGGCAGGAGAATTGCTTGAACCCAGGAGGCGGAGGTTGCGGTAAGCCAAGATTGTGCCATTGCACTCCAGTCTGGGTAACAAAAGCGAAACTCTGTCTCAAAAAAAAGAAAGAGAAAGAAAGAAAGAAGGAAAGCAAGAAATAAAGAGAAAAAGAAAGAAGGAAAGAGAGAGAGAAAAGGAAGGAAGGAAGGAAGAAAATAAGCAGTGCCTGGTGTGGTGGCATATGTCTGCCATCCCTGTAGTGCTGGCTACTTGGGGTGGGGTGGAGATGGGGAGAAGGCTGAGCTGAGAGGATGGCTTGAGCCCAGGAGTTTGAGGCTGCAGTGAGCTGTGATTGCACCACTGAACTCCAGCCTGGGTGACAAAGTAAGACCCTGTCTCAAAAATAAATAGGCAGGGTGTGGTGGCTCATGCCTATAATCCCAGCACTTTGGGAGGCCAAAATAGGAGGATAGCTTAACACAAGAGTTTGAGAACAGCCTGGGCAACATGGCAAAACCCTGTCTCTACAAAAAATACAAAAATTAGCCAGGCATGGTGGCACAGGCCTGTAGTCCTAGATGCTCGGGAGGCTGAGATGGGAGCCTCAGAGGTGATCGCCTGAGCCTAGGGAGGTTGAGGCTGCAGTGAGTTATGATCTGCCACTATACTCCAGCCTGGGCAACAGAGTAAGACTCTGTCTCAAAAAAAGAAAAAAGAAGACTTTTATAAAAGGACTCCTAAGGCCAGGTGGTAGCTCACATCTGTAACCTCAGCACTTTGGGAGGCCAACGCAGGAGGACTGCTTGAGCCCGGGAGTTCAAGGCCAACCTAGGCAACATCACGAGATCCCATCTCTAAATTTTAAAAATTTTATGAAGTAAATAAATGGCTCCTGAATCTAAATCCAGGACATTCTGAGATCATTGTGAAACACAAACAGAATGTAAAAAGTGAGCTTTTCCTTTTTTGGTTGTTTTGTTTTGCTTTTTGTTTACTGGTTTTTTGAGACAGGATCTCACTCTGTCACCCAGGCTTGAGTGCCGTGGCACCTTCATAGCTCCTAGGCTCAAGAGATTCTTCTGCATTAGTCTCCCGAAGTGCTGGGATTACAGGCATGAGCTACTGCACCCAGTCAAAGAGCTTTTTCTTTTTTTTTTTTTTTGAGATGGAGCCTCGCTCTGTTGCCCACACTGGAGTGCAGGGAAGCGATCTCGGCTCACTGCAACCTCCACCTCCCAGGTTTAAGTGATTCTCTTCCTCAGCCTCCCAAGTAGCTGGAATTACGGGCACCCGCCACTATGCCCAGCTAATTTTTGTATTTTTAGTAGAAACAGGGTTTCACTATGTTGGCCAGGCTGGTCTTGAACTCCTGACCTTGTGATTCATCTGTCTCGGCCTCCCAAAGTGCTGGGATTACAGGTGTGAGCCACCTCACCCAGCCAGAGCTTTTTCTCATTGCTCTAAGATCGCCAGAAAAATGTTCATATAAGAATCCTTAGCTTTTATTGCAGCCTTAACTGGTTTGAGAATTTGATGAAAATTCTGGACCCCTCCCCAGGACAGACGCCCAACACCTTGCGTGCAATTTCAGGGGCCTCTAACTCCCATACCCAAGATCAATATAAACTCTGAAGGAAGTGCTGTCCGATAGAAATACAACATGAGGCCGGGCACAGCGGCTCAGACCTGTAATCCCAGCACTTTGGGGGGCTGAAGAGAGAGGACTGCTTGAACCCAGAAGTTCAAAATTGTGGTAAGACTCTAGCTCTACAAAAAAATTAAAAATTAAGCAGGCACACACCTGTAGTCCAAGCTACTTGGGAGGCTCAGGTGGAAAACTGCTTGATCCTGGGGAGGTTCAGGCTACAATGAGCTGCACTCCAGCCTGGGCAACAGAGCAAGACCCTGTCTAAAAAAAAAAAAAATGGGGCACAGTGCCTCACACCTGTAATCCCAGCACTTTGGGAGGCTGAGGTGAGCAGATCACCTGAGGTTAGGAGTTCAAGACCAGCCTGGCCAACATGGTGAAACCCCCATCTCTACTAAAAATACAAAAATTAGTTGGGTGTGGTGGCGCATGCCTGTAATCCTAGCTACTCGGGAGGCTGAGGTAAGGGAATCACTTGAACCTGGGAGGTGGAGGTTGCAGTGAACCAAGATGACGCCACTGTACTCCATCTCAAAACAAAGAAAAGAAAAGAAATATAATGTGAGGCACATATGTAATTCAAAAATTTCTAGTAGCCCTCTAAGAAAAGTAAAAATTAACAAAGAAAATTTATTTTAAAAATACATTTTATTGAGATAGACTTTTTATTAATAAAAAAGAAAGATATAGGTTGGGCACAGTGGCTCACGCCTGTAATCCCAGCCCTTTGGGAGGCCGAAGCGAGCGGATCACCTGAGGTCAGGAGTTCAAGACCAGCCTGGCCAACGTGGTGAAACCCTGTCTCTATTAAAAACACAAAAATTAGCCAGGTGTGGTGGAACGCACCTGTAGTTCTAGCTACTCGGGAGGCTGAGGCAGGACAATCGCTTGAACCCGGGAGGCAGAGATCACACCATTGCACTCCAGCCTGGGTGACAGAGTGAGACTCAGTCTCAAACAAAAACAAACAAACAAAAAAGATATATAAAAGGAAACATTTTATTTACCCAAGTATATTCAAAATACTATTTCCAGATGTCATCAATATAAAATATTTGAGAATGAATTACATTTCTTTTTTGTACTTAGTCGTTGAAATCTAGCGTGTATTTTGCATTTATAGCACATCTCACTTTGTACCGGCCACATCTCAAGTGCTCAGTGGCTTTGTGTGGTGAGTGGCTACTGTATCGGACAGTGTGGCTCTAAGGTTCCTTCTCAAAGTGTGGTGTTTGTGACAACTTGCAACTTCTGGTTAAAAATAAAGACTCCTGACACCAAGCCTGGAGACTCTGATTCCACAAGTTATCGTGGTAACCACCACCCTAAGGTGAGCTCTATACACAGCTTAAGTTTGAGTATCACATTTAATTTGATTCACAAGTGACATAGGTACTTGAAATGTTTTTAAATTTACTTATACTCTGTCATTTTCTGTTGAAGAAGCTAATGAGAAGCAGAACTAGAAGATGCCTAGAGAGGAAGAGCAAAAGGAAGGGCAGAAGAAGGGGAAATGAAGAGATGAGGCACCATCAAGACGTAGATGAGGGACAGGCAGACCAGTTCAAGTCTTGGAGGTGGAAGTGAATTGTTAACAACAATTGTCCTTGGTTAACAGATCACATTCCCACCACCCAATCAGCAAAAGCTACGAATCAGAGCTCCTCTCCCTCCTCCCTCTCCCTCCTCCTCCTCCTCTTTTCCCTGTCCTCTTCTTCCTCCTTCCCCTCCTCCTCTTCCCCTTCTTCCTCCTCCTCCTTCTTCTTCCTCCTCCTCTTCTTCCTTTTTTCTCTGTCTTCGTCCTTCTTCTTCTTTTTTCTTCTTCCTTATTCTTTATAGACAGAGCAGGGGACCTGGATGACTTCTAAGCATACCACTGGGAAAAGTCCTACCCACTAAAAGAAAAGCTCCTGACCAATATGGCAAAACCTCATCTCTACAAAAAACACAAAAATTAGCTCTGCACGGTGGTGTGCACCAATAGTCCCAGCTGCCAGTGGGGCTGAAGTGGGAGGATTGCTTGAGCCGGGGGAAGCCGAGGCCGCAGTGAGTCGTGATCGCACCCCTGCACTCCAGCCTGGGCAACAAAGCGAGACCCTGTCTTAAAAAAAAGACAAAGAAAAAAAAAAAGAACTAACAAATAATGGGCACAGACAAATTCTAGCCATGTGTTCTTTCTACAATAAGGGAAAGTGAAATTTTTAAAAATAAAGACGTATTACTTTCTAAAACTTAATCACAATAAATTTAAAACATAAAAAGAGGTTTGTTTCCCTAGGAAAAAAGGTAAATAAAATGAAGGCAGCCTTGTCCTTTGGAGTGTAAGAAAGCAAAAACCATATAGGACAAACAATGTGACCTCAAGTACCAGGGATCGAGGCGATGACAGCCGTTGTGGGGTGTGTGTGAGAAAGAGAGAGACAGCGACAAACAGACAGAGATGGCATGCCCAGGGCTATCTGCCAAGTTTAAGTAGCACATTCAAACTTGGTGGCCCAGGCCGGGTGCAGTGGCTCACGCCTGTAATCCTACCTCTTTGGGAGGCTGAGGCAAGTGGATTACTTGAGGTCAGGAGTGTTGGAGACCAGCCTGGCCAACATGGTGAAACCTCTCTACCAAAAAATATGAAAATTAGCTGGGCACAGTGGCATATGCCTGTAGTCCCAGCAACTTGGGAGGCTGAGACAGGAGAATTGCTTGAACCCGGGGGACAGAAGTTGCAGTGAGCCGAGATTGCACCACTGCACTCCAGCCTGGGCGACAGAGAGAGACTCTATCTCAAAAATAAATAAATTTTATATATATATATATATATATAAATTATATATATATATATGTATAAATTATATATATATAAATAAATTATATACATATCTTGCAGCCTTAAAAGTTTACCTCCTAAATACAGTTTTAATCATTTACCTCTCCCCTTTTCCCATCCACTTCTACCTTTTCAGTTTCCACAGATTTAAAACAGCTCTCTTGGTATGAGGATGGATTCTGGGAAAGGTGAAAGGGGAGAACGGCTGTGGAAAGTTACTAAGCACGAGGCAAGAGGTTCCAGCAAGGGAGTCTTTGTTTAGGATTTGACCTGCTGCATTTCTGAATGTTTTCACTCAGTGTTGTTGGCCCAAAAGCTGATATTTAGAGAATGAGCCCCAGCCATCAGAATTCCCATTTCATTTTCTTATCTTGAGACTCCAGCTGTGCCTGGGGACTGACACATATTAGGTTTATCTTTCAGGCTCTCCTGATCTAAATAAAAGGAAGAAGACTAACTCCTTGGGGCACACAGATCTGAATGAGACATGGCTGCTTTCCCAGCCATAAGAGAAATAAACTCATCATCAGTTTTTTCTATAGTATATGCAATTTACAATATACTTTACTTGTATTTTATTAAATAATAGCCCGAGGTCAACATTATTTTGGTCTTCCTTTTGCATGCAAGGACCCACGCTCAGAGAGGTTAGGTAATTGGAACTGGCTTTGAACCCAAGGAGTTGGATTGGCCTACATAATGCTCCCCCAGTGAACCCGCTGCCCAGGCCACCACCCCAAGCCCGTTCACAGGCGCTTACCTGTAATTCTCCCCAGCCGTCCATCATACATCTCTCCAACAAACCCAGCTATGTGGGCGCCTAGACTTACTCCGATCATGTAGATGTCATCAAGAGAAGCTCCTTCTGCCTGGAATTTCAAAAGGTCCATCATTATAAATCACAAGGGGCCAAGGAATTAAAAACATTTGTAGGAATTTCCTGGCTGTTGACTTTGGAGAAGTATTTCTTTTTCTTTTTCTTTCTTTCTTTTTTTTTTGAGTCAGAGTTTTGTTCTTGCTGCCCAGGCTGGAGTGCAGTGGCATGATCTTGGCTCACCGCAACCTCTACCTCCTGGGTTCAAGCAATTCTTAGAGAAGTATTTCTAAGCACCTTACATCTCTTATCTCATTTAAAGGTCACAACACCCATGCAAAGTAAATATCATTCTCTTGATTATGCAGCTGAGGAAACTGAGACCCAAAGTTGATGTCATCTGCCCCAGATCAAGCAGCTGGAGAGAGAGCAGAGTATGATTGAAAATAGTCTGTCCGCCAGACATGGTGGCTCATGCCTGTAATCCCAGCACTTTGGGATGCCGAGGCAGGTGAATCACCTGAAGTCGGGAGTTCAAGACCAGGTTGGAGAAACCCCGTCTCTATTAAAAATACAAACTTAGCCAGACGTGATGGTGCAAGCCTGTAATCCCAGATACTCAGGAGGCTGAGGCAGGAGAATCACTTGAACCTGAGAGGTGGAGGTTGCAATGAGTCGAGAGCTGCCACTGCGCTCCAGCCTGGGCAACAAGAGTGAAACTCCGTCTTAAAAAAAAAAAGTCTGCCCAACTCCAAATCGGTGCCTTAATCTTTATGCCATGGTGTCTCCAGTCAAGCCTGTGCTAGAAACCAGGCCAAGATGGCTTTGGAACCTTCCAAAAGTTTTGGGGAGAGGGGCAACAGCACATTTTTACTAACTCCCTTATCTTCATACTGGCGCAGTTAATGAAGTTACCATGGAGAGGGAATGAAAGAAATTGGGGTGAAGGTGGAACACTCTGTCCACAGGCTGCTGGGACAGCTTGTCATGAGTCATTTTAATATTCACCTTCCCAGGGCTGTGGCTTAGTGGAAAGCTCGTGTAACTCATGTCACCCCAGCCACAAAAGGGCCACCAGGTCTGACTCTCCCTGAAATTGTACTGATTTCATGTTATTTTTTTGTCGTTGTTAAATGGGGCGATTCATGAGATAGATCACTAAATAAAATTTAGGGTTGAATGTTTGCAAATCTTCTAAAAACATAAATCATCTCATCAGACCATGTTTTGGATAATCTGGAACTTCTAGCAAAAGGAACATGTTAGACTTTGAGGAAGCTCTCGGTATTTAAACCAAGAAACCCCTAGACAGAACCTCTTCTACCCATTAGACACCTTTACGTGAGCTAGAAAAAGATGCCCTCCCTCAAGACACTTTGCCGTCATCTGCTGGAAATTTATCATAGTAAATAGATCAATCTACAACGTCACAATGACAAGGGTGCACAGCCTGCACAAATATACCTATGAGCCTCTCATCCCAGCTTCCCTGGGGCTTATTCACATTTGCAGAATGTTGCAAAATAGGCCTCTTGTTCACTGTAGCTATCTCTTGGCTTTAAGCCTCCAGATAATGGGTCAGTTTCAACTTGGCCCTGAATCATCTAAGAGAATTCTCTTACCAACACCTGGTCAATGAATTCCTTCAAGATGGTGGCTACTTTTCTGGTCTTACTAGAGGCATGGTTGTATATTACAGTTGTAGCTCCTCGATTCCAATCCACAACAACTACGTTCATGTCTTCCACAGAGAGCAAAGCCTTTACTAAGTCCTCCATCCAAACAGGAGGGGAGCCTGTTGGTCTGAATCCATGAACAATGAAGGTGGTTTTCTTGGTCACATTCAAGTTCTCAAAGGCTGAGGAGTTGATGGTCTGTGCGCAAGTTGGGTTTCTCCTTGTGTAGAGCATCAGCCTCACGTCCAGTCCCGTACCAACTAATGCACTGTGAAGGCTCAGCCTGGTGAATGAAGGACATGTTTCTCCTGTGTCTGAAAATAAAAATTAGATGGCATCACGACAGGTCTTTCCTTAGTTGGGCATCAAGCAGAAGTGTTGTCCTAGGCCAGGTGCACCGGCTTACGCCAGTGTAATCCCAGAACTTTGGGAGGCCGAGGTAGGCGGATCACCTGAGGTCAAGAGTTCGAGACCAGCCTGGCCACCATGGTGAAACCCCATACAAAAATTAGCTGGGTGTCATAGCAGGTACCTGTAATCCCAGCTATTTGGGAGGCTGAGGCAGGAGAATTGCTTGGAATTGCTTGAATCTGGAAGGCAGAGATTGCAGTAAGCTGAGACTGTGCCATTGCACTCCAGCCTGGGCAATACGGCGAGACTCCATCTCAAAAAAAAAAAAAAAAAAAAAAAATGCTGGCTGTCCCGTATTTGTAGGAGTTCTCCTTATGTTCCTGAAAGGACCTGGCTAAGGGCTGGATCCAGCTGAATGAAGTTGCAAAATCATATATACATATTTTGAGACAGGTTTTCACTCTCACCCAGGCTGGAGTGCAGTGGCATAATATCAGCTCACTATAACCTCCACTTCCCAGGCTCAAGCAATTCTCCCACCTCAGCCTCCCTGAGTAGCTGGGACTATAGGCACACGCCATCATGCCTGGCTAATCTTTTTACTTTTTGGTAGAGACGGGGTTTCACCATGTTGGCCAGGCCGGTCTCAAACTCTTTTGACCTCAAGTGATCTACTTATCTTGGCCTCCCAAAGTGTAGCGTTACAGGCCTGAACCACCACAACTGGCTGCAAAATCATATTTGTTTTTGTGGGGAGGAGTTTTTTGAGACAGAGTCTTACTCTATCGCCCCCACTGGAGTGCAGTGGTGCAATCTTGGCTCACTGCAAACTCCGCCTCCCGGGTTCAAGCGATTCTCATGCCTCAGCCTCCCAAGTAGCTGGGATTACAGGCACCCCACCACAATGCCCGGCTAATTTTTGTATTTTTAGAAGAGATGAGGCTTTACCATGCTGGCCAAGCTGGTCTCAAACTCCTGATCTCAGGTGATTCGCCCACCTCAGCCTCCCAAGGTGCTGGGATTACAGGCATGGGCCACCGTGCCCAGCCCATGAAATCACATTTGATCCAGAGCTTTTAAGTAGTGACCTCTTGCTTCACCAGAAAATCATTCTTCCAAATCCCATCCTCCTCCAATGTTTAACCCAAAAGCTACCTCAAAGCAGCCTTCTCTGACCCTCCCAGCTAAGCACTATCCTTCACCCCAGAGCTCCCCAAACTCCCTTTGTGTACTTCATTGACGTCACAATGAAAACCCACTTCAGGCATGCATTATAGGTATCTATGTACACGTGTGTCTATCCTGCTGGAACACAATCTCTTTGAAATGGCATCTAATTACTTGTATATTCCTCACAGTGCCCAACATGTGGCAGAGGACTCAACAACTGATGTGGAACAGCAAGTAATCCCCAGCTCCAAGTGGAAGACAATGAGTGTCTCCTGTGAGATACTCAGGAGAAGAGGCAAGGCACTGCAGATGGCCATTCTTGGGGGAACAGAAAGGGAAGACTGTTCCCTTCTGTATGCAATGGGCCATTCTGTATGCAGTGGGCCAACAGAAGACAAGAGTGCCTGGGAAACATCTGTCTGACTTCCTCCAGTAGGAATTCAGGAAGCATTTGCTCTGGGTCCCTGTTCTCAATGAATCTTCATTTGCACATCCAGGAATTATTCTCCTTCGTTCTAAGCCTCAGAGTAGTCTTTGCCCGCCCATCTTTAATAACCTGGGTCTGTTTATGTCTGCATTTATTGAAACCTTTCACAAAGGCTCTGGTACTCAGGAGTGAGTGAAGTTTCATAATAGAATGAGCATAAAACATCCTCCCAAATAAATAGATAAATAAAAGTTGAATAACTTATTAAAAAATTTACATGAGGCTAGATGTTACTTGGTGGTTGTACTTAAACTGATGATTTTTATCGTTACTTCACAATTAGTGAGATTTGTTCCCGGAAAACACCATCTGTAAGATTTCTGCTTTCATGAAGTTAAAGACACTTATTTAGGACTAAACGCTTGCCTATTTATTCATTTGTTTATTTGAGACAGAGTCTCGCTCTGTCACCCAGGCTATAGTGCAGGGGTGTAACCTCTACTCACTGCAACCTCTGCCTCTGGGATTCAAATGATTCTCCTGCCTCAGTCTCCCAAGTAGCTGAAATTGCAGGCGCCTGCCACCATGCCTGGCTAATTTTTGTATTTTTAGTAGAGACAGAGTTTTGTCATGTTGGCCAAGATGGTCTTGAACTCCTGACCTCAGGTGATCCATTCACCTCAGCCTCCCAGAGTGCTGGGATTACAGGTGTGAGCTATCATGCCCAGCCAAGCTTTCCTTTTTTTTTTTTAAGACAGAGTCTCACACTGTTGCCAAACTGGAGTGCAGCGGCTCTATCCCAGCTCACCGCAACCTCCGCATCCCAGGTTCAAGTGATTCTCCTGTCTCAGCCTCCCGAGTAGCTGGGATTACAGGCACCCGCCATCACACCTCGCTAATTTTTGCATTTTCAATAGAGACAGGGTTTCCCTATATTGGCCAGGCTGGTCTTGAACTCCTGACCTCGCAATCTGCCCTTCTTGACCTCCCAAATGCTGGGATTACAGGCATGAGCCACTGAGCCCAGCCAAGCTTTCCATTTTAAGTAATTTTTCTTGGTATCTGAAAATTATCTGCATCCTCGATTTAGTGCTCAAAACTGCTGTTATTCAGGTAGACAAACACTCAGTGAGACTCTCTTAAAAAAAAAAAGGTTAAGGAGGCTTTGAAATCCCTCATCCTAGAAAAGCGGTGGTTAATGCTGAGCCCCAAATGCGCACATTCCTCCTTTTACTCTGCTTCATCAAGAAGCACATGTGTATGCTCACGAAGTCAATATTTTCTCCATCCATCGGCCTCTTTCATTTCCTCTTCCTGTAGGTTGCATGCTCCTGGGAACATGGACTTGCTCAGTTGTTTGTAGAGCAAGTCCTAGAGCGCAGAGTTGCTTGTTTAATTAGTCATCGTATTGAACAGGAGGTGTCTTGGGGTAGGGCTGAGCCTCTCCTTCTTAGCTATCAGTAAAGCCTGGTTTTGTTCCTGGTTGTTCAACTGACTCACCAGGTGGCCTGGGGAAATTGTGTCATCTTTCACTTGCCACCTATCTGCCCAAGAGAGGAATGCTGGGGAAATTAATTCGGAATGAGATCATACTTGAGAAGACAGAGATTCCTTTCCCAAGAAGAGGGCTGTTTGTCTGGTTTTGTATTTTGTTTTTTGTTTTGAGACAGGGTCTTGCTCTGTCACCCAGGCTGGAATGCAGTAGTGTGATCTTGGCTCACACAATCTCTGTTTCCTGGGCTCAAGCAATCCTCCCACCTCAACCTTCCAAGGAGCTGTAACTACAGGCGCACACCACCATGCCTGGCTTTTTGTATTTTTGTAAAGACAGGCTTTTGCTATGTGGTCCAGGCTTGTCTTGAGCTTCTGGGCTCAAGCAATCCACTTGCCTCGGCCTCCCAGAACGCTGGATTACAGCATCAGCCTCCACGCTCAGCCCTTCATTTTTTTTTTTTTGAGGTGGAGTCTCATTCTGTCTCCCAGGCTGGAGTGCAGTGGCGCAATCTCGGCTCACTGCAACCTCTGCCTCCTGGGTTCAAGCGATTCTCCTGCCTCAGCCTCCTGAGTAGCTGGGATCACAGGCGTGTGCCACCACACCCAGCAAATATTTTGTATTTTTAGTAGAGACAGGGTTTCATCGTGTTAGCCAGGATGGTCTCAATTTCCTGACCTGGTGATCCACCTGCGTCAGCCTCCCAAAGTGCTGGAATTACAGGTGGGAACCACAGTGCCTGGCTGTTTTTTTTTAAAGTCTTATTTTTGTAATGTCACTGTCCCCTGGAGAAGTCCACTGTAAGTACTGAGTGAAATAGATTTCCTTGTTCCTCTAAATACTATATATTATAAGACCTTTACATATATTATTTCTCATCCTCAGAGAATATGTGCTATTCTTCCCACAAGAGTCTACTCTATCCTAGATTCTATGTCAGGTGGCATTTTAGAGGGAGAATTAGGCAGTAATGAAATAATACACACAAATAAGTATAAAACTACTACCTGTGATATGCGCCATGTAAAAGATAGAGTGTAAGATGAGAAATTAAATAGGGAGCCTGGTCCGCTCTGGGGATCAGGAGGCATCTTTCTCTTGCATCATCTAAAAATAACAAGTATCTAAATGCCAACAAAGGGGGGTTCTTTTTAAAGAATAATCAAAGCATAACATCAGAGTATGAGAACATCACAGTTGGGCAAATTCAAGTTACCCAAACTATTAAGCTTTATTTCTGTAGATTTTTTTTTATTACCTACCCTTAATGTTTCAGTTGTTATGTCCTTTTTATTTTTAATATGCTCCTTTTACCTTAAATTCCACCAGATGATATTTTTATCGTAACTGGGCTCTCTTCTTAGCATTTGCCTATCATTTCTTTACCCTTTTTATCTTCTGAATCCCTTTATTTTGCAGATCTTATATGTAGGATCAAATTGGGCTTTATGACCTACTCTGAGATCTTTTAAAAAAAAGATAAATGAGTGTATCCCATTTACACTTATTGGCATAACATATACTTGGCATGGTGCCCATAGAAGTGCCTAAGACCTGCCTTTCAGAGAAACTTCTGGAGGAAGCACAGCTGAATTGGCCGATAGCCTCCAGCTGCCACACAGCATTTACATGAAGCCAGGACCCCCCAGGCTCCTCCCCACCAATCACTGCGCCAGGCCAGGCCGGTCATTCCTGTCCCAGGTGGCACTCTCTAATTGGAAACTTTGGTTCAAGAACTCCCCATCAGTGTGGCTGAAATATTCTCAGAACTGTGCTGCGGTCTGAGATTCTTCCCACCCAACTCTTCCTGTCTTCTCTCCTTTCTCAGGTGCCAGACTAATGGCATCATGGTGTGAAGGCTCCCTCTGCCTATT